ACTTTCAGACATGTGGGCGATCTTTTCAATTTAGCTAAGCCAGCGGCGGAAGGCTGTTTACATCTGTTTATGCTCATTCCAACATGCAGTGGATCGGGCAGTGGATCTGTGTTTGAATCCTTGCGGTGAGCTTGGGGTCGGGCACCCCGAGCGGAAACATTTTCTTGGTCAGCGCGAGGATTTGGACTTAGCGCTGCCGCTGCTGGAAAGTTTCCCGCGGGGCTGCCAAATTGGACGACCCTCGCTGGCGTGTGGATCGCGGGCGACCCTCAGCTCCTTTGCCCTGAGATGATTGTGCCCCCTCCTGAAAAGGGATCTGGTTTCACCAGGGCCCGGGCAAAAGCTGGGACCATGTTGATTGTTGGAGCTGAGTTGAAGGCCCTGACATGAAGTCAAGGAAGGTGTGAGCGCCAGTCCGCATATCTGTCGCTGGGCCTTGGGGTTGCGTTCCATAGGAACCACACGTTTCAAGAGCCAGCCTCGGAGAGGCGAGATTTTGAAATTTGCGATGTCTCCCTCTCAAGTGGTGGCATACCTGGGTCGCAAAATCGAACCCAGCCAAATATCGTGCTGGCAGATTTCAAAATTCTAGGGGTTGATTCCAACCATTCTTTTCAACCATCGTTCTTTTCCAACACCAGCTGGTTCCCCTGGGTTTTTGATGGTTTTCTGAAAAGAAGGATCCCTGGAAAGAATGGGGAAGGTACCCCTAGAAAAGTCCGATGCGTAACTGTTGCGACCATAGGCGTCCTTTTTGGTTGTTTAGGTAGAACATAGATGGCCCATGGCCTGGTTTACCTGCGGCAATGCCGGTGGAAGTCGTGTGGATTTTAGTGTTTTTTTTTCTCCCCGCTGCGTGAGCCTTACCCCTAGGGTTCAACCCCCATTAAAACACAGGTTGAGCCAATTTGCATGACCATCCTTAGGCTATATTTGCATGACCATCCGTTGTTTTTAATGTTGGTTTGAATCGGGCTAAGCTCGGAGGAACCCAAGTTCCATGCAGTGGCACCGGGCTGATCTATTTTGCTTCGGCCACGTGCAGCGATTTGCAATCCCGGTCTGGGAGTGGGGTAGGACTGTCAGCTTTTTCTTCTTTTTTTTTTGGCAAGGATACGCTTTCTGTGCTGGGTCGGTTGATTCTTTTAGTTGGGTTGTGTTGGGTTGTTTTGTGCCGATTTGTTGGGTCTCCCTAATTGTGACCGCATATACAAAAGTGTATAGACGGACTATCAACAGTCGTTGTTTTCGGGCTGACTGCAACAAAACAAATGCACTCTGAGCGACATCATAGACCACATCATATGGGATCTCCACCTCCTCGCGGCATCCATGACCTATGACTTACGACCTCCAGTGCCCTTTTCCCTCTTTTCGGAGGGGGCTTCGTCGCTTTTCTTCGCCAAGCCTGGGGGTTGAATGGGTGTTTTCCTTCCCGGTGTGCGTACCAAAATATTTGTTTGGAGGTTTTCCGCCACCTCGGTGCCCAGGTTTCCGGTTTCCAGTGCCCAGATGATTTGTTTCCTACATGTTTTTTTGGTAGGCGTCCCTTGGTTCGCAAACCCGTCCGCTTTTCGAGTCGCGAAAAGTGAGGCATGGGGTGCCCTTCAGCGTAGTTCTGATGTGCCCCAAGCGCCCGGGACTCGGCGGCCGATCGATCCCACTTAATATAGCGTGGCGGGCTTTGGAGGGTACCCCCGGTTTTCGCCGGGTTGAAAATGAAAAAGGGCAAAGAACCGCCAGTTTGGGGGGTGCCCTAAGAAAAGATAGACTGACATGGAAATGGGGTGATGGGGTGGTTTCCTTTTGGGTTGCCCTTTCCCAGCTGCCCAGTGCCCCTTTGATCAACTTTTTGTTGGGGAGGCCAGATTTGGCTTCGGCCGGGATGTGGGCTCCAGTCACTCCAATTGAGGTGGGTGAAATCGGGGTCTTGAGCCATGTGGCGGAACCAAAGAAGGAGGCCCTTTGTTTCCCACGGCGGATCTGAGCTTTGAAGCAAAGCCAAGAAGGGCACCCTGAAGCGAAGATGCAATTGCCGCATCTGGAAAAGGAAGTGTGACTCGCCGGTTGCTTTATGAGCATGTCTCATCCATGTGCTGTGCTCAATATACCAGGTAGTTCCTGTTCGTTCAGAGGCAGGGAGTGTCAAGGTTCAATTCGAAGCCACCCTTCTGGTAGCGGTTTCAGAACTCTTTTGTCCAACCTTTCAACATCTCCCTTGCGTTGGCTTCATGTTTTGCGCCGAGGTGTTCTTTTCCTGCATTCTTTGGGAGGGGACGGAGTTCACTCTGAAAATGCCGGATGTCCCGGAGCTCACACGTCCCCTTGCGCCCCCAGTTTCTCGTTGTTGGCGGTGCAGGAACAAAAACATTCTTCAGTGGCATTCTGAAGAGACCCCTTTATGGATTGGTGGGTTCCATGAAAAAGGCTCAGCCCCCAAAAACTTGCTGGTGCTCAATAGGGAATGAGGGAATGAACCCAAAAGTCCCCTTAAATCAAACCAGCAGTGGGATAGCTTGCAGGGGTCATTCCTTTTCGCATCCCCTGCATCTCTCGCAGCAGCAAGAAAAGGGTTCTCTTTTGTTCCTTTGGTATCTCTTTACACCAACCCCTGCCTGGTCACCCTGAACTGACTATGGGGCGAAAGCATTGGATCCCAAATGAGCCACTTGCTCAAAACCCGGGTAGATGAAGGTTAGCAAGGGATGATCCCAACCAGAAATAGCTTCGGAAATCCGCCTTCTTAATTCTTGAAGCATGGTTCTGGGTAGACCATTTTGATACCGGGCGTTGATTATGACCCCCAGCTAGGTGCCCTTTCTCACCCCTTTTTTGGTTGGGAGGGTTCCCCTACTAGAATAGACGTCCTGAAAAAAAGAGGTTTTGATTATGACTCAAACGAAAGCGTCCCCTTGATCCAAGGCATGGACAAGCAGCTCATGAGCTCCTGCTTGGCCGCCGGGGCCAAGGGCTACGTGGCGAAGCCGCTCAGGGTGCCGGCCTCATTTCTTCGTTAAAAAACAGAAGTGGCCGGGTGCATGGGACGAAACTGGCGACTTTGGTTCAGGAAGCTCAGTGACTTTTGTGGCAGCTTAGAGTCCCAAAAATGACCCCTGTGACAACTTGGAGTCTTCCCAAAATCCGAGGCATCCCAAGGCGCAGGCCTTGTCTGGGAAGCTTGATTCTGGGATTTATGGAGCTGATGAGCCTGCCTCGAAATGTGCATTGCGCAGATTTCGAATCGAATCGGATACCGAAGATGCGAGGAAGGCCCCTTTTCTATTGATGGCTTCCACGTTCGCGAAGGTACAGGCCATCCGCGGTGTGCTGATGCGCTACACACTGGAGGACACCATGCGTGCAGATGTAAATCTCTTTTCTCGCTGGCGTGCTAGTAAGGAGAGTTTTTCTCCTGGTAGGGTGACCAATCGTATTCTGAGGGGGGTTGTTTGCGCCATTTCTGTGGGACCCGCCTGCAATAGACCGCCCTCCGGTTTCAAGGGCTCCGGGGATTTTTTGGGCCAGCCAGCAGGGGCCGGCGCGGGCAACAGTTTTGTACCCAGGATTGCAGCCAAAGGGTGAAGTGGTAGGGTTTAGGGTTTCGGGTTTCGGGTTTTCCCGGCGAGGTTTTCCCAGAAACTCTGGAGGTTCCAAGTGAGGGAAACCATTAAGCAGCTCGGTGAATTCATAGAGGTCGAGTTTAGAGTTCACGATGCGCATTGTGCAAATCCCCTCCAAGATGTCTATGTGCTTTTTTTGAGGGCATCTTCAGCCAGGATGCGTCACCCTCTGGGGGCTCCGGGCACTACGAGAGAGTGCCCCGGGGGTGGGCGGGGGGGGGGGGGAATTTGTTGCCATTTTTGGGTCGCCCGCAAAGGGACACCCATATATAGGCATAGGTGTCCTTTCTAGGTTAAAACAACAAATGGCACTGGTTTAGATGTTTGTTTGTTTTTTTTCCATTTACCAGGGCCATCTATTTTTCCGAAAGGCCACATATGCCCATATAGCTATGAACTTAAGGCACCCGAGGTCCAAAGTGGTGGGAATTTTGAGGTCCAATCCGGGACTCATTAAAGATTTGGCCCCTTGTTCAATCCTAGTGCCGCCTTGAGCTGCCTTTCAAAGGTGATCCCAAGAACACGCCTTGAGTTTGATAGCCCCAGGATACCTCAACCTGCCAATGGGCCTTGCTTGGCAACTCTCGTCCGAGAAGAAATCTTGGAATTATCGGCCGGCCAGCCGCAGCATTCGATGATCCTGCGGCGTGTGTTTCAATTCAGAGAACTGTTGAAGATATGCAGATTTCTAGGGTACCTTCCATGTCCACTCTTTCCAGGGATCCGTCTTTTCAGGAAACCATCAAAAACCCAGGGAAACAGCTGGTTTTTGAAAAGAACGATGGTTGAAAAGAATGGTTGGAATCAACCCCTAGAAGATTGCCCAAAGCTGACCGCCTTGCTTTTGCGAAGCGGTGTCCTATTCCAGGCGCATGCGGCGTTCGCCTATGTGCTGAACGCTGACAACACTTCTGTACACACATTTCTCAGGAATCACGGCCTGTTTGCTGGCTGCGCCTTTCCCTTGGTGCATCGTGAAAGCGGAAGTTCTTCCAACGTCGAGGGAGTCGCCGACGGCAGTCCGCCGCACCCGATGCCCTCCTCCCAATCATATCAAATCAGGGCAGTCTGCTGCGTCCAAAGCACAACTGGGTGAAAAACGCGTGCAAGTCTGTTTTGAGTCAGATTCGTGTTTGCTAGACCTGAGCAACCTGCGCGTCCACTCAAAGCAAGGGGCGATGCCCTCAAACGAAGGTATTGAGACAGCGCCTCACGGAACCTTTAACCCAAACAGCTGCCCGTGGCTCAAAACATGTACCTAAATGGCACCCTTGGCAAATGGAACCAATGACTAAAACCTGCGTAACCCTAGCTCTTTGATTTTGAGCCCCACCCAGCTTTGGAGCTGATACAACCCGGTCAAATTGTTGCTTTTGCTGCAGCATGACACGTGCTCAAACTCCCACGGCGGCGTGGGCTACTTTTGCCAAATAAGCTGCTCGGCCGCACTGCAGTGGCAGTGGCTGAGTGATCGAGGTTTGGGCAGCAGGGGGTGATGCCTAGGAAGCCCAAACAAAAGATTTGAGCAGGGCAGAGACCTACTGTGGATGGACAAAATCCATTTCGCACCACCCAGGAAACCCTGGAAGGATTCGATTCCCTTGTAAATGCCAACAAACAATGGTTGTCATGGTTTCTTAGGTGGTGCAGGATTTCGTCCATCCACAGTATTTCGGAGTTGGCTGCGTGGCAAAACCCGTGATCTTTGTTGGGCCCACGCTTAAAGCAAGTTCGTTCCACGTAAGGGGACACCTGCCAGTTTTTCAAGCTTTAGGTCCAGATTCTCCGCCACAAGCTCCTGCGTATCATAGGAAGAGGGGCTAAAAAGCCAGACCCGGCAGGGTAGCCTATGGGAGACCTGACCGCGTGCGGACAAGGCCAAGAGGTGAAGTGGCAAAGTGGCGGATCCCTGGTAGGTCGCCCCAGGTCCGCAAACTCACAATCTATACAGCTGGTTTTGTGAGTGGATCACAGGAAATCAACTCAAAAGGCGGGTCCCCCATTTTGAGAAACCTCTTAATGGCTGTGGGTCAAAACCAATGGTACCATTTTGGTTGGTAGGTGAGTTCACCACCCATTTTAGAACCTATTACGCAGGTTTTCGTCTTTTTTTTCTCCATATACCGGGGCCATTTTGGTACCACTTTTTTGCGCCGCATGGCTTTCCATGTTAAGAGCCGGAGGCCAGTCCACTCGACTGTGGGCAGTGGGAACTGGGCGCGTTTTCAGCTTTCGAGCCTTTCGGGGGGGTGTCTCTTCTTTTCTTCGGGGAGGAGGGGTTCGCATAGGGGTCCCTTTTTGGTTGTTTTGGTCGAAAAATAGATGGGTTGCGATTCCTGGCTTACCTGGCGGTTTAATCATTTACCAGGGCCATCTATTGCCCTAAAAGGACGCCAATGGTGGTTGGCTTAACAGGCTTTCCGAATTTGAAAGCCACAAAATGGGGGGGGGTGAGAGAAACACTACGCTGAACTGCGCTGAACCAGTGAAGGCAGGATTCAGACTCCGTCCGGCTTCCATCAAAATCAACTTCATCATGGGACTTCCCGCACATTTCAATCCGGCAGATACATGAATGGCCGTTCGCCGTGAGAACAGGAGACTCACTTTCTAGTTCATCCGGCTGCCTGTGTTTCCTTGAACTCTGGCTCAGGGTTTGGCGATTCCTTCCATGCTTCAAGATGCCCCAAGACTTCAGAAGTAGCTGTTGATTACAGCTTCAGCCACGGCTTCATCTTCCGTTTCTCTGACGTGGCCCTCAGGACATTGCAACTGGGGGATTTGGACTCTGCAGAAAAGTGTGCTGAGATTGAGATTGGGGTCAAACGGACAAAAGTTCGGGACCCTGTCATTGGCGTTCAAACGGCACAAACCATCTAGGGGTCCCCTTTTTGGAGAAACACCCACCATTTGGGGGTCGTACTGTGGATGGACGAAATCCTGCACTACTTTGAAACCATGCAAAACCATCATTTGCTGGTATTTACAGGGGAATCGAATCCTTGCAGGGTTTCTTAGGTGGTGCGAAATGGATTTCGCAACCATGCACAGTATGGTAGACACAAGTTTGCATCTTCCTGGGTGAATTGTCACGACCTCACACGACCGAATTTACCCAAAATTGGGGTTTATGTGGGGAATATCCCTCCAACCACCGCAAGTTTCAGGCTGGTGAATTATTACAATTCACCCAGTGGAAAGGCCTCATGAAATTTTGTTGTAAGGGATACTGTCGGACCTGGTAGATATAGGAATTGCTCGACAGGCAGAGGGCCCTAGTCTTTTCTTGGGTTTTCAAGGGCCGAAGCCTGCCGTCCGTCTTCGCATGCGACATGCGGCTGAGGAAAGATTTCCATATCTTGGCTGGCCTCTTCAGAGGCTGAGGCCGCCGAGGCTGAGGGGCCATGCCGACGCCTGGCTGAAAGGTGCGCAATGGAAGGAGAGGAGATCAGGTTTTTTTCTGGTTTGTTTTGCTTTGCGGTTTTGAGTGGGGACAGTTGTTTTTTTGCGGTTTTGAGTGGGGAAAGGGTTGGTTTCGGCATGGTGGCTTGTCTTTTTTGAGTACTCTTTTTTTGGGTTTAGTGTTCTTTGAGTTGGGAAAGGGTTGCACCTCTCTTGGGCTTATGTTGAAGTCTGCGCAAGCCTGCGCCTGCATGTGTCAGTCGACCCGACCGACCATGCGCAGTTGCTTGGCCACGAGAGTTGTTCCTCGGCCGAGAGCCATTCCTTGTCATGCCTCCAAGAGGAGTGAAGGGTCCAAGGCTCCGAGGGTGGCAAGTGCGCCGCTTCATTGATTCAGGCAGGTGGCCAGAGTGGTTTGATCCTCTTCCGGCTAAGAGAAGCCTACCAGACATTCCTGTAGAACTCGCTGCTGGCTTTTTAAGCAAAGGGGATCACCTTTGGGCACCCCGCAGCCACGCAATGGGAATGCTTTGGGATGCCCGGACATTGTTTTGTTCATGCTCCTTTTGCGATCATGCGTTGGGAAGTCAAGAACCTGCACTGATGTCAGAACCTGCACTGATGTTTCCATGCCAAGGAAGACGATTAGGACTGTCAGCCATGCAGAACTGTTGTTTGACAGTACTCTCGCAGCAGGGCTTTTCCGGGCAGTTTACGTCGTTTATGTCCAAGAGTCGGCCGTCTCCGTGGTGAGATTCCACGAATAGAGCTTTCGGTTGGCGATACCGCAGGAAACTTGAGCCTCACAAATGATGCTGCTGTTGTCTTCAGTATCTTCCGGGTCTTTCCATTTGCGAGCAGTGATGGAAAGCCGGAGAATTACAGGTGGATGCAGCATACTGCTCTGAGCCCTTTGGTGATTGCGCAGTTCCTGACCTGTTTGCTCGTGAAGTCTCAGTGCCGCTTTCCAGTGCTTCCTGAACTGTGGACAGCGGCCGGGTGATACGACAGGTTTCCCTACTGTCGGAAAAAAGAAAAGCAATTCCTGCACCAGGTTTACTTCTCGCAATTCCGGTTTCGTTGATACTCCTCTTCCGCCACTTCTTGTATGTTCCACCTTGGCAGATTCTTGTGTTTGCTGAGTGTCCAAGGGCGGTCCTGAAGAACCTACAAGGCACCTTGGCTGCACAGAATTCCACGCTGTGAAGAAATAAAGGCCTTGCCACCCTAAACCCTTTTTTTGCCTGGCCACTCGTAGCTGTTCAAATTGCTGGCAACATGCCCGTTGATTCGTTTCGAAGCATGCCAGCGCTTCTCAAAGGCTAAGAGCATGATGCGTATGGTGTGCGCGGCAGATCTGAGGACTCAACAAGCAAATGCTACTGCACAATGCGAGCGTTGCGAAACAAGGGACCTTTTGGTGTCCAACTCTATCTCCGGTAAATGGACATTTGATTAAAGCGTGTATATATTTGTACATATATATATATATTACATGTATATAATGTAAACATATACACGTGCATGCGTGTTTTAGATATGAGTAGCACCTTCCCGGGCTTCACATTGGAGACCTGATGGACCAGCAGATAGCAGCGTGGTTCCCTCACGTCCTGGAGCTTAAACAGTGGAGTAGCCTGACTCCCGCTAAGCCTACAAGAGGAACATGATCTTCCAGGTACCGTCTCACAAGTGCTATGTCAGAAGGGAGGGTATGCGTTTGAATATTGCCTCCGAACACGTACCTGAATTCAAGACTGTGTCGAACTCTTCGAAGGCTACCCTGTGATGCATGAACTTCTTTAGTAGGAGCTCAGTGAATTCACCTTCCCGTCAGAGCAAGCTCACATGAAAGCTGACCTGCTTGTCAAGCAATCAGAAAAACGGGCACGCCCTTTTTTGAGGGTACTCATGGTACCCATGGTGGTGTTGGTTTGAAGCCAAGACATGGCTGTTGTTGGGAAACATTTTGCATTTTTTGCTTATTGCTGTTTAGTGAGAACTCCCCACTTAACTGCTAAAATCTAAATTTTGCTCCCCTTTCCACGTCAACCAAGAAGAGGAACCGCCCATTTCAGGACTCCACAATTTGAAGGCCCAGATGTCCAGATGTCCAAAACAGCCCGCGGTCAGGCCACCGCTTTATGCGGACAGCATCAGATTGGGCCGCTGCCTCGGCATAAGTCAAACGGCACAGCCCCAAGATGGCTGGCTGGTGGTTGGAGTGAACGCAGGCTTCGGTCTCCTGAAAGGAAACCACCAGTTGGATGGTTTATATCGGGGTCATTCCATTTCTTCTTCCCCATCTTGCGCTGGCATGGGCCGTTTCCCTTCCCTTTGTTCCTTTAAACCAACCCGGGGAAGAGAAAGGGAACAGTTTCTTTAAACAAAGGGAAAGTTGGGTCGTTCCTGCCCAAAAGGGAACCTTTCCCTTTGTTCCTTTTTTCACCCAGCAGTTTCTTTGTCCTTCCCTTTCCAGTCTTGAACGTCAAGAGAGTTGAACGGGGATCCCTGGGGACGGGATGAGTCAGAGACTGGCAGCCGCGCAGCCCAGCAAGTGGATTGGTCTTCTTTCCGAGCAACAAATCACAGGAGCCAGCTGTCTTCCCATGAGCCCTTCACTCACCGCCGATGTTTTTGTTCGAAGGTCATCAAGAAAACAAACTCCAAGACGGTGTCGCTTTGGCTCCTGGTGGACTTTGGCATTTCTGCGGCCTGCGCCTCAGATGGCGCGGTGTTGGTGTGGCATCCACAAGCCTTGTTTTGCTTGGAGGGCGCCAAGGGCACGAAGCCAACTTCGGAGGTTACCCCAATCTAGGTCCCCCAGTGCCCTTTTGCCCTTTTTTGGGGGAGGGTTCCCCTACTAGCATAGACCGTAGACCACAGAAAAAGAAGGGTACCCTTATTCTAACCTCTCTACTGGAGGCCCTAGCAATGTTGTTCCAAACCCCATGTTTAATGACATTGTCCAGGGTTTCACTTCACCAGTAGCTCTATTCTTTGCAAGGATGGTAGCAAGGCTCACAGAAGTTGACCAATTGGGAACAACAAGACAGTCTTGGGAAACTAGATTGCAGGTATCACAACACCCGCAGGTTTGTGACTGGCTGTTTGGCTGATCAAGAGAAGGGAGTAACGGTTAAAGGAAGGACTCCGTGGTTTCTCGGAAACTGAAAGAGGTAAGCTAAGACCAGCGTGTGTCATTGCCATCCCACGCATGGCTTCTTTGGGAGCGGGTATGAGTATTGACGGGTAGCTGAAGCTTTGCGTGTCTTGATCTATCTTTCCTGGAGGCCTTCCTTCGATCAACCGACTCATGAACATGGATCGGGCCAACTCTTTCACCAGTTAGCCCAGTCACCATGGATAATGCTGATAAAACACCAACACAGTAGCTTGGTGTCGCCTACATGTGTGTTCCGTTGCCCCCCTTGCTGGTATCTGTGGAAGTGACAGCACCCAGCCAACGAATCAGCCAGCCGCCCAGGCGGAAAACTATCCGACGCCTGACCTTCCGAGCAAGCGATCGACCAAAGTTTAACTGGTACGGGTATGCGGGTGTGTGTGTGTGCGAAAATGGCGGCACCCCAACAAGGGTGGTGTTCCTTTAGCTGCCCTTTCAACCCACCCCAAAGCGGCGAACCTTCGCCCCCAAACACACCGTCTCGGCGGCCAGGGCTTGGGAGCTTACTTCTTCTTCTTCCGATATGTCTCCTCCCTGGGCTGGCCCCTGGCTCAGTGCTTCAGCGCCTTTTTGGGGATCTGATAAGCTGGTTCCGATGCCGTGCAAAGGACAATCATGTGTGTAGCATCTGAAAAGAACCTAGAGCCCATGTAGGGCCACCCAAATGCAGGCAGGACAATCTATTGTGACGTCCACACCGAATGTTGATACATGCGGCGTTCTGAACGGAAGCAACATGGTTGGGGCCGTTTGGTTACCAAACACATGCCACCCCCACGTTTCAGCCGAAGCAGCTGGACCCTGTTCCCATTGAAAAGCTTGCCCTCTTGCAGCTGATTCAGTGTCGTTGCGACGGCTCAACTTCAACCGCCCCTTCTCGGAATCTTGACAGCAAGAAAGAAACTGCCCCAACCCCGATCAAACGTAGGTTCCTTGCATAGCTCTTCTATGAGAAGCACGAAGAATGTGCGAAATAATTTGTCTATTACCGCTGATCAAGTGCCGTTGCTTAGCACTGTGTGCATGATTGATGCGATTGTGAGAGGATGGAGAGCAGCGAGAGCCTTGCCAGGGTCCCAATCAGAATAATGAACAACTTCAAGTTCTACATCTTCATAGCCGGCGTGAGAGCTTCTTGGCATCACAGTGATGGTTGATTGCAAGAGGAATGGCAGACTCAAGCATCTTAAGTAGAGGCCAATGTAATGCAATGCAATTTAATGTAATGCAACGTAATGTCATGTAACGAAACGTAATGTAATGTAATATAATGACATGGCATGTCTGCAATGTAATGTAATGTGTGTATGTATGTAATGTAATGTGATGTGATGTGATGTGATGTGATGTAGTGTATGTATGTATGTAATGGATGTAATGTATGTATGTATGTATGTATGTATGTATGTATGTATGTATGTATGTATGTATGTATGTATGTATGTATGTATGTATGTATGTATGTATGTATGTATGTATGTATGTATGTATGTATGTATGTATGTATGTATGTATGTATGTATGTATGTATGTATGTATGTATGTATGTATGTATGTATGTATGTATGTATGTATGTATGTATGTATGTATGTATGTATGTATGTATGTATGTATGTATGTATGTATGTATGTATGTATGTATGTATGTATGTATGTATGTATGTATGTATGTATGTATGTATGTATGTATGTATGTATGTATGTATGTATGTATGTATGTATGTATGTATGTATGTATGTATGTATGTATGTATGTATGTATGTATGTATGTATGTATGTATGTATGTATGTATGTATGTATGTATGTATGTATGTATGTATGTATGTATGTATGTATGTATGTATGTATGTATGTATGTATGTATGTATGTATGTATGTATGTATGTATGTATGTATGTATGTATGTATGTATGTATGTATGTATGTATGTATGTATGTATGTATGTATGTATGTATGTATGTATGTATGTATGTATGTATGTATGTATGTATGTATGTATGTATGTATGTATGTATGTATGTATGTATGTATGTATGTATGTATGTATGTATGTATGTATGTATGTATGTATGTATGTATGTATGTATGTATGTATGTATGTATGTATGTATGTATGTATGTATGTATGTATGTATGTATTGTATGTTTGTATGTTTGTATGTTTGTATGTATGTATGTATGTATGTATGTATGTATGTATGTATGTATGTATGTATGTATGTATGTATGTATGTATGTATGTATGTATGTATGTATGTATGTATGTATGTATGTATGTATGTATGTATGTATGTATGTATGTATGTATGTATGTATGTATGTATGTATGTATGTATGTATGTATGTATGTATGTATGTATGTATGTATGTATGTATGTATGTATGTATGTATGTATGTATGTATGTATGTATGTATGTATGTATGTATGTATGTATGTATGTATGTATGTATGTATGTATGTATGTATGTATGTATGTATGTATGTATGTATGTATGTATGTATGTATGTATGTATGTATGTATGTATGTATGTATGTATGTATGTATGTATGTATGTAATGTATGTATGTATGTATGTATGTATGTATGTATGTATGTATGTATGTATGTATGTATGTATGTATGTATGTATGTATGTAATGTATGTATGTATGTATGTATGTATGTATGTATGTATGTATGTATGTATGTATGTATGTATGTATGTATGTATGTATGTATGTATGTATGTATGTATGTATGTATGTATGTATGTATGTATGTATGTATGTATGTATGTATGTATGTATGTATGTATGTATGTACGTATGTATATGTATGTATGTATGTAATGTATGTATGTATGTATGTATGTATGTATGTAATGTATGTATGTATGTATGTATGTATGTATGTATGTATGTATGTATGTATGTATGTATGTATGTATGTATGTATGTATGTATGTATGTATGTATGTATGTATGTATGTATGTATGTATGTATGTATGTATGTATGTATGTATGTAATGTATGTATGTATGTATGTATGTATGTATGTATGTATGTATGTATGTATGTATGTATGTATGTATGTATGTATGTATGTATGTATGTATGTATGTAATGTATGTATGTATGTATGTATGTATGTATGTATGTATGTATGTATGTATGTATGTATGTATGTATGTATGTATGTATGTATGTATGTATGTATGTAATGTATGTATGTATGTATGTATGTATGTATGTATGTATGTATGTATGTATGTATGTATGTATGTAATGTAATGTAATGTAATGTAATATAATATGTAATGCAATGTAATGTATTGTAATGTAATGTTTGTATGTATGTGTGCATGTATGTATGAATGAATGTATGAATGTATGAATGTAATGTAATGTAATGTAATGCAATGCAATGTAATGTAATTTAATGTAATGTAATGTAATGTAATGTAATGTAATGTAATGTATGTATGTATGTATGTTGGTATGTATGTATGTATGTAGTGTTATCTAATCTAATGTATTGTAATGTAATGCAATGTAATGTGTTGTATTGTAATGTAATGTAATGAATGTATGCATGCATGTATGTATGTATGTATGTATGGTGATGTGATGTGATGGGATGGCATGGGATGGGATGTGATGTAATGTAATGTAAAGCAATGCAATATATGTATGTAATATATGTATATATGTATGTACGTATGTATGTTACATGTTAATGTTTGTCAAGGCATGATGATGTATCTAAATGTATCTCAATGCGTGCATGTCATGTAATGTAATGCAATGCAATGCAATTCAATTGAATGTAATGTTATGTAATGTGATGTGATGTCATGCAATGTAATGTAGTGTATGTAGCCTATGTATTGTTTGCGCGGTATGTAATGTATGGCAGTGTATGCAAGATGTGCAATTTGTGTGATGTAGGTGATGTGTGCCATGCAATGGAATAAAATGTACTGTAAGTAGTGTAGTGTAGTGTAGTGTAGTTTGCATGCTTGTTTGTTTGCTTGCATGCATGCTTGCTTGTCTTGTCTTGACTGTTTGCTTTGTTTGATTTTGCAATCTGGCTGGGTTGGTCAGCTGGCTGGCTGGTGGGATGGTTGACTGGTGAGATTTTGCTTGTTCTCTTACATCAAACGAAACAGGGTTGGTGCATCCATTTGGCACAGTCATTGTTTCCGGCCGCCTCACGGCTGAACACGGCAACTCATTGGCTGGCAAAAAGAAACCCTTTGGCTTCCCCAGCAGCGACAGCTCTTAGCCAACCTTGAGTTTGGGGCGTCTTGGGGTTCCAGCAGGCGTCTGGAGACCACTTTTGCCTTGCGAGAAGCAGCAATCTTACGAGCCTTCTGGCGAAAGGTATTCGTTTTGTGTCTGATTCAGCATCCCACAATATGAACTTGGGGAAGAGCAGGGATTCGTTTTTTGGCCCGCGGGGCAAGATGCGTGATGAACCAATTCGGGGTTCAGAGAGAATCTAGGTCTCCACCCAATCCGGTCACGGGTTTTTGGATGGAGTCTCAAACTCAACATCCTAGCTTTTTTTCCCCACCCTCCGTTTGCTGTCTCCAAGTCTGATAGACAAATGGCCGTGGGTCAAGACCAATGGTACCATTTTGGGGTAGCTGAATTCACCACCCATTCTAGAACCTATCTTAGTGGTTGGATTGAATCGGTCCCGTTCACCGGGGGCGAACCGATGTGGATTTTGAAGAGCCCATGGCCCAATGGGTGCCTCCAAACACATCCGCTGCGCCGCATGGACCTCCGATGTGGCCCAAATCCCGCCCCGCTCGAGGCTTTATGCACGCTGTGGGGCTGCTTGGCTCAGATTAGCACCCGGTCCTCTCCCAGCCTTCGAATTGCTTAAGAATAGATTGCTTTGTTGTTTTTGCCACTAGGGTTTTGAAGGGAATCGATTTCACTACTGGACATATTTTCTCATTTTTCCAGGGGGCTTAAGCAAATGGAAGCAGCTGTTTCTTTCTTTTGGGGTTCTCAAAGAGGTGGCCCCCGAAAATTTGCTGGTGTTTTTGACGTCGTTATTGCCAACTAAAAGGGGTCCAAGTCCCATTCTGAGAAAGACGAATTTGCGCTCGTATTCTTCAAAACACACATGTAGAAACCTATATGGGTTGGTAGCTGTTACTGTTGTAGCCCAAGTCACGGGAATGACCTTGGTTTGGGAGCATGTTGCAGGCATTCGCGCGCTGGCTTGTGTTTGTGGGGGTTTGTTTGTTTGTGTTTTTGCTTGCTCGCTTGCTCGCTTGCTCGTTTGCTTGTTGCATATGTGTTTGCTTGTTGGATGGTTGTCTGGTGTGCTTGTTTGTTTGTTGCTTTCTGTTTGCTTTCTGTTTGCTTTCTGTTTGCTTTCTGTTTGCTTTCTGTTTGCTACGTGTTGTGCTTGTTGTTTCCTTTTTGTTTGCTTGTTTGCTCATTTGCTTGTTTGCTCATGTGCTTGTTTGCTCATTTGCTTGTTTGTTTGTGTGTTTGTGTGTTTGCGTGCTTGCACGTTTGTGTGTGTGTGTGCGCGTTGTGTTTTGTGTTGTGTGTTTTTGCTTTGTGTTGCTTTGCATTGTTTTGTGTTTGTTTGTTTGTTTGTTTGTTTGTTTGTTTGTTTGTTTGTTTGTTTGTTTTTGTTTGTTTGTTTGTTTGTTTGTTTGTTTGTTTGTTTGCACTGTCGTTTTTTTTCAATTAACCAACCCGAGAGTCAGTTCGGAGGCAACGCGTGCCCTTCACAAGGAATCCTTCCGGAGGGGGATCTAAGGCATGATGGGCCTGCCTGGGCCTTTTGTGGATGGACAAAATCCACTGCGCACCAGTTCGGATACAGTAGATGAAACCCTATGAATGGGATAAGCCAGCAATCCCACTTGCTGCGAATCGGATTTTGTCCAACAGCCTCCTCATCTCTTTGCCTCATACAACCGACTTGGCTGAGCTGCGCGCGTTTTTTTTCTTCTTCGTCTTGCGAGGTATGTATTCCGTGCTGGTGCGCGATGTCAAGAGTGTGAAGCTGCGACTTGGGCTAAAGGACATGAGTCACTTGCGCAAAACCCGGGTACGTAAAGGCTACACAGTCGCCATAAAATACCTCCATGTGCTTAAGATTTTTCCTTTTCTGGTTTTGACAGGAATTTATCACGACTGGATATATGTTTATTTTTCCAAGAGGCTTAACCAAATGCAAGAATCAGTGCAGCCAATCTTTTGATCAGAGCGTCACAGAGGCAGTCTGGGGGCCCTCAACCCAGGATTCGGCCTAGAGCTTCAAAGTGCTGAAACCCAGAGTTTCATAAGGAGGTCCCTGAGAACCGATGAACGGATACAATTCATCCCAAGACTAGCTGCTATGAACTACATGCTGCATTCTCCTCAAAACACGCGGTGGTTTTGAAGCAGTTCGCCCTAGCCCCAGCGGCTTCCGGCATTTTGGCTCCGAACTCGAGGCTCCAAGGAGGGCAAAAAGCACGAGAGGGCTGGTCGTTAGGCAAGACCGGGTTTCCCCCATTGGCTTTGATTGAAGCTGTGGACAAGGTTCAAAACAAGTTGGGTCTGGGTCAGTCCTTGTTTCCGTGCGCCAGGCTTTCATTTTGAGTGCCTGTTTGGGTTGTCCTTTGTTAGGGGGACCCCCCCAAAATGGGGTGTTCCTTTTTGGCGTCCCTTTAAACCTACCCAAACAACGGGATACCAGGGTACCGCCAAAAGAAGACGAGCCGCCCTGTTTGTGGACTGAGCCACACGTTTGGCAAAGGTTCTACTCGGTGTTCATGCTGAACCTCCTGGTTGCGGCCAGCGGCTCAGGAACCAAACAACATCCGTTGTTGGAAGGAGCGTAGGCTAAACGACAGCGTACCACACCCTACACGTGCCATGACCTAACCCACACAGCGATACAGACTGGCCCAAAGCGCTTTGTCACCATCTAACTCAAATAAACCACAGGGCCATAGGTGTCCTTTTTGGTTGTTTAGGTAGAAAATGGATGGCGATTCCTGGTTTACCTGGCGATTTAATCATCTACCAGGGCCATGTATTTCCCCTGAAAGGACACCTATGTGAACCAGCGGGTTCAGAAGGCATTGAGGAGGCATGCCTGGAGGATTTCTAAAATGGCCATGGGGGGTACAGGGTTTTGACCCACAGCCAAATGACTACGTGGGTGCGTCCTTTTCTTTTTCTAATGGGTACCCTTTTGGGGTTGGAACACCAAACGGACAACCACATCTTTGGGGGACCCCCTTTGAGACACACCCACACGGGCTTGTCTCCACAAGGGCGCGCATTTTTGGAGGGCACCCTTCTTGAAATTTCGGGGTGCTTCTTTTTTAATTGTTATTTCTTCTTGTCATTTTTCCTTTTTTCCTGAGACTTTAAGCAGTTGGTGATTTCCTTCATCACGTAGAATTTGTGTTTTCGAGACGTAGTCATCCGTTGTTTTCGACCCACCTTCCAACAGAGAGTCCTGATTCCCTGACGGTGATATTTCCATTTTAAGGACTGGCTCAGTCTTGGATGGAATGCAGATGGCGCCAAAAGCCGGTGGTGGAGACGGGGGTTCTTTCTGTTTGTTTATTTGCCATGGATTTCAAATCCAGCACTTGCTTTATACCAATGCATGCATGTGTGCGTGTTCCATTCCTGTACACATGCATGTACGTGCAGGTCCTCCTTTGATTCGATTCGCGATATTCGTGACTCGTCCAAACCAGCAGTGAAACTGTATTCCATATTCAACCATTCCGTCAGAGGTCCTCAAGCAATGCCGCTCGGGTGGCCAAAGCTCATTCCCGTTGATCAGAAACTTACTTGGGCCGAAATTGCGGGAAAAAAAGAAAAGAAGAAGTTCTCCGACCAAAGTGAGCCATGAGCCAAGCCATGAGGTATGGCTTATGATCCCGCTCCTCAGTCTCAACTGCACCTGCAGCCAGGACTACTACCAGTGCGAGGCGTAATTATTTTTTTGTTTGCCTGAGACATCAGTCGGTGTTTCTCAAAATAACGAGCCCCAAAACTCCCTATTTTGAGAAACACCCAAGGGTTTGGGGCCACTTTCAGTGGTGACAGCCCCTTTGAAGGTGATTTTCCAGACTTGTTATTTGTAGGTGGAGTTGATTGTATTGAACACGTTCAACCTGTTTGCCAGAGTTGGTGTATGTGCAGGCACAATACGGTTGATGGTTTGCATCATTGCTAGCTGAAAGCAGCTTGTTCTGACACTCGATGATGGAAATCTATGGGACCTGTTCACCTCGCAACTTGAACAAGGGGAATCCTTGCAATATGAGGGGCGAAATAACTGCTGGTAGCTTTCTCCGGGTTTACAAGCACCCCAAAACCTAATCATTTGGGCTGTTATACTCATGTCTCCATGGATTGCGGTTGGTCGACTCGAACTATCAAGGGCGTGGGTACCCCTTGGGTGGTTCGGGAGAGTTCGAAGAGACACCAGGCCCCATTTTGCTTCGGTTTGGATTTAAAAAAAAGCGCATGACACCAACCAGAAGTTTTAAGAAACGTACCCGGAATTCTTGTGGATGAACAGCATCCTGCAGCAGTTGGGATGGGTGAACCCCTACTTACCTCTAAAAAACACAACTTTTCAACTTTTTGGGTAACATGGGCTATATGTCTGTCAAAGGTTAACTTCCCCAATCCGTGGAGTTTTAAGGGGTAAGCCTATGACTGGGATTTGTTCCACCAACTGTGCCTGGCGTGGATGTCAGAATCAGCACATGTGCATCTCAGCATGGGGACTGCACAGTACACGGGATTTGGGACTGCTGACATCTGGGCGACACTGTATGGTGAGCTCACCTGGAATTTCGCGTGGATTTACCTTGTTTGGGTACCTGGGGGTCCAATTCTTACTCCTGGTTTTGGAACTTCTGATTAGAGATCCATTGGGGTTCGTCTCCAAACAGGGGAACCTACCTTAAAAGTGCTGGTTTCCCCCTTGAAAACCAACCCAAAAGGGGTCACAAAAAAGGACGCCCGAGACATGTGTCGCCAGGCATTGCAGTCCTTCGCGCTTGATGGACTCTCGCTGAACAAGCGCCTTGCCAACTTGTTGCCTACCAGTTTTATGATCGGAAAAGGATAACCCCGCTTTCTGGTACCCTCTCACCAACCGGTTTCCCAGCTCAAGTTGCAAAGTTTGAACATGTTTGAACCGTGTGATTGAATATTGCACTTCCTTGTCGGCGCAGTCTTTCCACATTCCAGCTGCCACTGGTTCCATATGTTTTGAAGTACTGCGCAGGGCCAAACAAGCTTTGCGGCAGAAAAGTCGCGAGACAGTATATTGAGGACACTTCTGTGAGCAGTCGAACGGCTAGAGCCACGTATAGAGCCACGTAAATGCATTTCAGCACTCAGAACAAAACAACTCCTGGCTGTTCAGTGCCTGCCTTCCCTTCAGTCAACCCCATGCCGGGTAGCATCCTGAAAGGATATCGGCCCAACTCCATCCAACTGGCTGTGGCTCAAAAAGCCGGTACCAAAAGGGCGTACCCTGGTAAGTGGACACATGGACCAAAACCTGCGTAACCCCTCCTGTTTAATTTTGAGCCACACCCAAAGACCAGACCGCGTTTCCTCCATGTCGTTGTTTGGAGCCTCCAAAAGCGGCCTTTCTCTCTTATGGAAACCCCCCAGCTTCAAGTGAGTTCCACTTTTTTTTGGGGGGGGAAAATCCGAATCCGAACATGACCCCCAAAAAAGGCTCCGGTGTATTTGTTCTTCGAGGTCTTCGGATTTATTTTTTCTTCTCCGGCTGCGTTCTGGTTCTCGGAACAAGCGGCGGCGCGCTTCTTGTTTTTTTTTTTCAGGTGGCCGGAGCCGGAGGGCTTTGGCAAGAACCGGAGGGCGCTGAGCTCAGATCGATCCGATGCGAGGCGATGGCTTGGGCCTAGCAAGACTTTTTGTTTAACAAACATATTAATAATAATAAGGGGGAGCCTTTGGTTTGGCTTCAAAAGCCAAAACGAAAGACGTGAATTTGTGAAAGAGACTTTTGTTTTTGGTGGAAACTTTATTTATCCCTCCCTTGACTTGATGACTTGATGACTTGATCTAGTTCGAGTAGAGTACCAGTGCCCTCGCTGGCCGGGGGCTGGGATTAGGAAATGAAATGGGTGTAGCAGACAGACTGGATGTGGGCGGGCAAGCTCCAAGCCGGACCCAAGAATTGGGCGCAGATGTCAAAATCTGCCGGGGGACTCCAAAAGTCGCCGGTTTTTGGCCTCCCTTCAAACCAAGTTGGGTATCGCACAGGCGCACAAATCGTACTTCTGTCGGCGAAGGGGGTATAAAAAAGGACACGCCCAACAAGAATTGAGAGCAAGACCACATTCGGCTTGCCCAAGTTTGGCACGTGTCCAATCGAAAGGATCACATGGAGTTGAACGGGGTGTCATGTCAGTCTGCGTAAGCAACAGGTTTCTCCACCATCCGTGAATCGCAATCTTGGCCTTGGTAAATCTCAGCCAGGTTGGCTGGTCGCTTTTGTGCGTCATGCAAAATGCTTTATGTGACGTGCCATCAACCTGCCAGTCCTCGCAGAAGCCATCAACACCACTATGCGCAATTCCTTTGGTTTGTTTTCTCTGCGCAAATATCTCAGTCTGCATATCTCCAGCCTGGCTGAACTTTTCGGTTCCTTGCGAAAGGCTCTTTGGAGGACATCGAATCAGATGGTTTGAGGCCATACGATTTACTTGTTATCACATGAATCTTCTTGTCTCGGACGGGCAGACAGAATTCTTCGGGGATTCTCCACACTTTTGAGGTTTTATCTTGATTTTCATAGCCAAGGACGGCAATATTCAGAGCGATTTTTACAGTCAAGGCAGGGCTGCGTTGAATCCCCATATAGCCTTCTCTGGGACTACCTTGTCCTGCAAAGCACAAAGGAGTCTGGGATGGGAAGAGCCGTTGTGCAACGGATTTATCTGCTGGCTTTGGCCCTCCAGCCAGCCGGAACTGAGTTGCTGTTGCCAAGGATCGGCAACTGGGTTCCCCAGTAGTGCCCTTTTTCACCCCTTTTTGGGGGATGGTTCCCCGACTAAAATGGACTACAGAAAAAGGGCACCCTTATTCTAACCTCTCTACTGGAGGACCTAGGCAAGAAACCACTGGAAGTGCCACAAATTTCGGCCGGTTGCGCGCGTGCGGTGACCTCTGGCACGTTCTCAGGTAGAGTACAAAATGCCTCCTACTCCGGGCGAGCCAGAATTGGACCGGGCGAGGGGCATGGCGAGTGTCAGACATTCGCGGGACTCAGGAAACTGGAGCTGGTCATCTTTCGCATCCTTCGGCTCAAAGGTGTGAGAGCTTTCTGAAAAAAATGGCCCTCTTGGCCATGCTTAAGTTTGCGTTATCCCCCTCAATGGGCTGTTTGACCATATACCGCACGGCCTCCCTCCTCCTTGTTGCATGTGTGATGCTGCGCACCCCATGTTTGCAGTCATGGTTGGATCCATTTTCTGAGAATATCTGTTGTTTTCCCCTGCTGGTTTTAAGGGGACTTTATATTTAACGATTGGAAGTATTATTTCTCCAGGGGCCTTAAGAAAATGGAAGTTTGCCGCTGCTTCAATTGTTGTCCTTGATCAGAGTCAGAACGTGTTTATTTGCACACCGGCGTCTTGATTGTTTTACAATGTCCATCATTGGTTACTGCATGTTTCGGTTGAGTTACACGCAGATACTGTAGCAACTGATCTGTCGCAGACACCTGGGGGACCCTCAAAGATGTGGGTGTTCGTTGTGGTTTCCTTTGAACACCATCCAAAAATCTCTGAGACACCTCCTTGTGTTTACACTGGAGGACCTAGCAGATATACAGACCATCTCTTTTGTTCCCATGGTTAGGGGACCCCCAAAAGAGGGCCGCCAAACGCCCAAAGACGCACCCAAGAGCACTATTGGGCTCTAGCTGGCCTTATTCTAAGCCAGGGTTGTGGGATCGAGGGCTTTTTTACTGTGATACAAGGGATTCTCCTCTTTGGCAGCTTTGTCTATCACGGAAGCCCTTTTTGTATCAACGTGGATTCCGTTTCCCACCGCCCTGTTCTAAGACCTCTCTACTGGAGGACGCTGGGAAAACCCGACGCTGGGAGGACCACAGACCGCGCGGTTTTTGTTTTTCCCCCGTCGCCTTCCGTCGACTGCAAGGACGCCACGGAGGACAAGGAGGACTTCGAGCTGACGTGGGGCGGCTCAGTGAGGTTTTCGGGGCGATGCGCTTCGGGTCTCTCAAAATGGGCTCGGGGTCAGTTGTTTTTTATCGGCCACCGAGGCGAGGCTGGGTTTTCTCAACGGGGAACCGAAAGGAAACGGAGGTTTGGGCTTCTCCTATTCTGAGAATGGGTTTGTGGTTCACTCTTGAAGTATAAGAGGTATTTCAGTTCTTGTCCCAGCACCAGTCCTAAACGTTTCGCCCTAGAATGTTCTCGGTGCAAAGCGAAATTGCCCATCCCGGCTCCAAGAATTTGGCACGGCGTGCGACTCTAGTTTGGTGGACCAACGAAGAGTCATGTTTGAGACTGTGGATGGTCGAAATCCTGCACCAGCTAAAGAAACCTAAAAATGATTCTTCCCCTGTAAATATCAACCAACAATGGTTTGTCATGGTTTCCTAGGTGGTGCAGGATTTTGTCCATCCACAGTATGGAACAGCCACAAGAGCCAACCATCAGGTGGTTTGGATTTGGATTTGAACCCCTGGTTCTTGCAGAACGCAAATGGGACACCCCAGAAGACCACCAAACCACGTACGCACCCCGCAAGGATAATTTCCCGGTAAGGAATCTGACCGGCAGATCTCAACCACTTGCGTAGTAGTTCTAGGGAGCCCAAATCCTCCGACTTGAGATTGGGAGAAGTCGGGCCTTGAAAAAAGAAACACATTGGGACCCTTATGTTTTGAAGGGGGGGGTGTTGACACCGCGCTATCGTTCGGGACATGAGGACCACGGTGAGCGCTCAGGCAGGGGTCTGAATCAGGGCAGTGAGTGGGCTTGCTTCAGATTTCGTTTTTTTTCGCGCTCAGTCCTTGTGCTTTGCTCGTGTTTTGTGTTTGTGTTTTGGTTTTCCTTGATTGCCCCGTGTGGTGCTCCTTCCATTTTCAACTTACTAAAAACGCGAGCTGCCGCTTTACGGTCAGACCCTCTAGTCTTTGCACATATCATCAATCCAAAGCAACAAAGTGTGCGTTCGGTTTCGAAGTTTGGCCACACAATTTGCACATTGCTTTGATTGTTTCTTTTCTTGCTTGCTTGTTTGTCGGGCTGTTTGTTTGTTTGTTTGTTTGCTTTTTTTTGGTTGGTTGGTGGGTTGGTTCTTCCTTCCTTCCTTCCTTTCTTCCTTTGCGCGCAGAACGCATTCGATGTAAGCCCAGCAACGCCCCGGATATTGGGACCGGGATCTATCCGCTAATTTAGATCCAAGTGGCAAGATTTGTCGTAACCAGCTAGAGTTGCTAGAAATATGAATGGGCATCCATTAAGACCAGGAATAAACAAAGAGCAAGCATTGGATTTGGAAGGTAAAGTCAAAGACAGATCAGAATCATTGGATGGTGAGCTACCTTGCCTTGTTTTCCTTCCATAATTTGCCTTCGCCAGTGACTTGCTTGTGGGTTATGGTTCTCCTTCAGGCCCCTTGCCTTAGGACCGGTGTCTTTTGGGTCTCCTCCAAAACCATTTACCTTTTTTTCGGGTGGACGGAATATGAACCTGAATCAGAACAACTACGATTTTCTGTGTACCTCAGATAAGTGCAATTGGCAACGAAGTCACCTGGAATGATCCACAGTCATTTCCAAAGCGTGATGTGATGCGCACGGTTGGGACAGACTATGGTTTGGAATGTGTGATGCGAAAGCAACATGATCATGAGCATGTACCCTGCTTTGCCCCAGCAAGCGCAACACTTCCTCGAGCAGAGGAGGCTAGGCGGCCAGCCTTTCTCAGTTTGGCAGCTTGCGCGATTTGTGTGGCCAAACCTTGGACCACTGCAGCATCAGGGTCGGACAGGATCCTGATAGTTGTCATAACCTGTGTGCCCAAAAAGGCGGGCTCTTCATCTTTGACGCCATTGCAAATAGGCGTCCCTAAACCGGGCTGGTCTTGGTGTCTTACACCTTGCGGAAACAAATGGCTTTGCCATTCAACCTGCAAAAAGTTGACTAGACCTGGTTAAGCCTTCGGGCTTGGGTTGCACACCCCAGAGGGCTGGTCGACAGCCAAGCCGACCGTGCCAGGCCGCTGTCGGCAGCGAGGCCAAGGCAAAGGAGGCGTCCAACCAGACGGCGGCCAACGTATCTCAGGCGGCGGCCAATGTCTCGCAGGCGGCCAAGCAGGCCGAAAGGGAGAAGAACTCGAGCAGAATCGGAGAAGAAGTCAACTAAACAAGAGGTATCCACCAAAAAGCAACTGGACCGGGGCAAATGTTTTGCCAAGCTGCGCAAAAGAAGACGCCACGACCTGTTTCACGACTTTGGGGCCGGGCTCATGGCTCGTGTGCCGGGCCGCGTTCAGCTCCGGCGAGGAGAAGCAGGAGGCGGAGGAGGTGGCTGCGGCCAAGGCGCCGGGCGAGAAGGAAGCAGCGGTAGGAACCAACCAGCGGTGGGTACCACACGCTGGTGCATGTTAAATGGGGTTTATTAATCCCGGGGACTTACACCATGGGTGTGGGTCAAAACTTAAACCTCCAGGATATGGACCACAGGTTCTGGTCCATGTTGCCACTTACGAGGGTTCCATTTTGGGTACCTATTTTTGACCCGCAGCCATGTCATGATGCCCCTCCGCGTTTTCTGGATGCGTGTCCCAAAAAATCATTGCTGGCATCTCTGCGATTCAGTTCTTCATCCCTGCTTTGAAGAACAAGTGATGGAAATCAGCATGAAAGCTTGAAATCCACGCTGTCTTCTGCACTGTCTTCTGTACTCCCCGTCAAATTCATATGGCACTCGACAGCGGGTCCTCGAAAGGAGATTTCTCTATGACGGCTTTTCAGGTATGTCGGAACTCCAAGAAAAGACAATATGTCGGACGCAATGCGGTTGGATTGCTTCTCCGCGCTTCCCGAGAAAAGAAGTGAGGGTACCCCTTTTGGGGGGCAAAAACCCCCCACGTGCCAGGGAGCCCATCACTGCACGCGTCATTTTGTGAGGTCTCCTTGATTGATTTCTCATGGCATATGGAGGTGATTTGTAGGTGCTTGTCGGTGGATGTTAGTCTGGTTTCGCTCTGAGGCTTCCGGCTGTGAGACCGGTTACTAGGTGTTCGTTTTGGTCAGGCACAGCAGCGCAGTAGTAAGTCAAGTGCGTGGTGTTGAAAGCTTGAGCTGGTCGGAAGTGCGCCGTTGAATCTTCTCACAGAAACAGATGTTCAAGCATCTTGGTGGCTCCCAGCCATTTCCTTTCATTGTTTAGTGGGGATTTGCATTTAACCCAAAAATTAAACCCGAGCCAGGGATCTGAGAACAGCCCAGGGACTTAACTTGCAACTCCAGCGTTCTCCTTGAGCCACTCGCGTTGGTGCGGAACTCGCAGAACGGCTCAAGGCTGGCACCCGCCAGAAACCGTGGCAACACCTCGCCCAAACACCGAACATCAAAGCCTAGCGCAGCGATTTTGTAGCGCAAATCCGTAGAGTTCCATCCAACTGGTGTCAGACATTTGTCTATACAGCGATTTTCTTCACCAGTTGAATAAAACACTACAAATACTAGGAGTTTGTTCCCCAACTGACTGCAGTTCAGCAAAATCCTGTGCCGTTCATTCCATGGGCAAGAACTTTTGAGAACTCTGGCGATTTGGTGCATCCATTTGAAGCGATCGTGTTGTGGGATCACTCGGGGTTTACCCCCACTGTGATACAAAAGGCATCTCCTCCCCGGGCTTAGTTTTTTGGGAAGCCGTTTCTTTGGTGCATCTTGCCAAGGGATGTTAGGACTTTAACTTTTGGCCAGCTAATCATGGTTGTTGTTGGGAAACATTTTACATTGTTGCTTATTCTGGTTTAGTAAAAAAAATCCCCACTTAACTGCTAGAATTTAATTTGTTGCTCCCCTTTCAACGTCAACCAATTAATGGGTTTTCCGTATTAAACCACTAAAAGTTAAACCTTTAGCAGGGGAGCAGACAGCAACCGAGTCTTTGTATCACAGATTCGCGGACTCCATTTCAAGCGCAGCCCTGATCCGCCAGAACCTCGCTGCCGACTCACAGAAGCCGGAGAGTCTGCTGCAGTCGGGGCCTTGCTTAGCAGCTGCTAGCAGCTGGTAGCAGCTGGTTGGGAGTTCGATGGTTTCGAGCAATTGCCAGACTGAGTTCACAGGTTGTAGTTAAACTTAATTGACTTATAGCTATATATATATATGTATACAAGGATAACAGGGTGATAATAATCGTAGTGATACTAAGTAATGATTTTTTTCAACAGTAGTAACAATCATAGAGAGTACTAATGAGAACGATAATAATGATAATGACAATACTGATAATGGTAATACCAACAGTAATTGCGATAATCATAGTAACGATGCTATTCATACTATTGATATCATGAAAGCTTAAAGTCCGTTTGCCCTTTTGGAGGTGTTAAGTCCGTTTGCCCTTTTGGTGGTGTTCCTCCATTTTGGCTTTCATGGAAAGTGGCATCGTCACGGGTAGCCAAACATGGGCGTGACCGCCCTCCCACCCTCTTGTCTTTGCTTCCAGGGCAGATGACTCCACCGTTGGCTTCGTAACTCTGAATATTCGCCTGAGTAGATGTGTGCATTCTGTCAGTTTGCTGGCTCCGTTTTTATGCTTGCAGGTCCTGTGGTATAGAGTGTGCTGGTCAGTGCGCTTCTGCTGACACTGGTATATTCATCTTCTGCCACGCATGCCTTTCTCTTGACATTGGGCTCACTTGAACTGCACTTTAGGCCTATTGGACATCTTCGAGATAGAGCCTTCCCTGCTCACCCCTTGCGGTGTTTCTCTGAGCAGGAATGGCCCTTCAGTTGGCTGTGGGTTTCTGGAGGCTCGCCTTAGCAAGATTTTGCCCACCTTTGCCTTCTTCAGGTGCTTGGAATCGTTTGTTTTCACCTCTCTGCAGCTTGAGCGCTTCCTTTTTCCCCTGTTTGTGGCCTTTGTTTTGACATCCTTGGCCTTTCATTTGGTTTATGGAAAACAAATCCGGTATTTCTCCATTGCAATGGGTGCATTCCAGTACGTCACTCTCCAGGGAGCGCATGTCGCTTGGCCTCGTCCCCATTTTTTTGTCTTCCCCTACAGACGACACGCGCTTGGGGCCTGTAAATGCTTGGCTTTCGCCTCACCTGCCTCACATTCGTGCACTACGGACCATGATCATGTGGCAACAAGTCAACAGGTGGTCTAAGTTAGAAACGAGGTTGTGTCCCTTTGATCTACCGCTTAAAGGGCACTTTGACAATGATAAAAGGATGGGGTCCAGCTTGGCTGGGGGTTGGCGGGGATTGTTCATCAACTTACTCATGAGCGTTTTAGACAATGTAGAGGCTCAGGGAACAATGACCATGACCCCCAGGAATTTTGAGCATCACGTTGGTTCTTGGGATCCTAGAAGCTGGCAGACAGAAAGCCTATAAAGGAATCATGCCCATGACTCACATTACTCCTAGAAGTTTTGACTGTCACAAACACACACACAAGACTTATTTTGTGGATTGCTTAGCTCGCCGTAAGTAGTGCAAACATTTCGGAACGAGGGGTGTCCTGTTTATAATATGCGAGTGTCTTTTGAAAGGTGTTGTAAGGAATCCACTATCCCTTGCTTGAGGCTTGCAAATTTTATTTTGAAATCACGGTTGACAGGTGGGAAGTGCTGTGAAACGGTATGAAGCCATGGCCGCCAGCCAACTAGTCGAAAAGAGTTGGATCCAGGCAAGTGGATGGTCTTACGGAAAGCTCACTGGAAGTGGCCTTTCAAAGGGTTAACTTACAGGAGAATCTGCCGGAAATTTGCTCCCAGAACACCCTGTTTTCCTGTAGATTCTACAGGAAAACAGCTTACTTCGGGTGTTTTGGGAGCAAATTTCCTGCAGAGTAGAACCCAAGCCTTAAGGAGCCTGGCCAGCCCCGCTTTCCTCCAGCGAAAACTCGCGGGGATCGGATGCCTGAGGTCTTCGCAGGCGGGGGAAAAAATCCAACCGCCAGGGATCTGACTAAGGCACCCCTCTCAAAATGGGTACATGGTTGTTGTTTGGACACATGTTTCCCATTTTTGCTTATTGTGGTTTAGTGGTGGAAATCCAAATCCACTTAACAGCTAAAATTTGAGAATTTTTGCTCCCCTTCCAACGTCAACCAAGGGTAGGGAGTTCTATTTAGGCCAACTGGGGCAAGTGGAGGAAAAAGCACATGGAAATATGGGTCTGTCTTTTCTTCGGGGAAACCCTTTTTTGGTTGGTTTTGAATCGAAACAAAAGGAAAACAATCATTTGCGGGGTTCCCTTAAAAAAAGACACACCCATGGTCACCCATATGGTGCTTTCCCTATTCCAAGGTCAACTCAGAATCAGAAAGCATGGGTGTGTCCGCAGGGATTTCCTGGCAACATGGAGGCGCCGGGTTTACATTCGTGGCAACTCCTTGTCGTTGACCTGATCGGTTGATCAGCAGCATACATGCCACGGTGCTCGTGGGCGGTTTTCGGGGCCTCGTCCAGAATTGCCGATGGTGCCCTACACAGAAGCACTGGACTTGCCCCGCACCTGCTCGCACCCTTTATCCTAAACAACGCAGGTTTCTAGTCGTGAATCCAGGAGGTACCGAGAGAACGGTTCTTGCGGCCGTCATGCAGCTGTCTTGGAAGGAGACGATCTACTTTGTGTTGGCCCTCGGGCGGGCATGACTGAAACACCTGAAGTTTTCCAGAGAACTTCAATTCCATGTGATTTCTCTTGCTCAGATCAGTGAGGTTTTCAGGATTCCTTGGTTTTGGTGGCCCTTTGTGGCTTCGAGCAGAGGGAAGCAGCCGAGGGGAATTCTCTCCGACACTTGAGATCATCCGAGCAAGCGCCCATATTATAGTTGGTCACCCGCGCGCTCCCACTCCAGAACAGCTGCACCAGGCAAATTCCCTCATAGTGCATGAGGTTACCTTTGCATATCCGAGGCGGTTGTTTACAGCAATATTGCGAAGCTTGTTACGGGGGCGCGGCTTGGGTCGACGGGGGTTGGCAAACTCGCGACGCATGCTCCATCTCACCGGTGTCCATGTGTTGCCAGACTTAGCTATCCTTTTCAACATTTATCCTCTTGTTTTCTTCCTTGAATTTGCAGAAAGCTAGCTCTGCGTCCTTTTGCTGGGGTCTAAGTGCGGCCCTGGGACGTCAACGGCTCAGCCAGCGAATGACTCGGTCCGTGAACTTGAGCGCGTCAGGCCAAAGAGGAAACCATCAGCCTTGTGCTCAGCTACGTGTGTGAGCGTTTTCGGACATGCCGAGCAAGCCAAAAGCTTATACAGTTTTTGTTCTTATTTTTTTTCCCGGGTTTGGGGCAAAGGTACCGGTGGGGAGTGGTGATTTTTTGTTTTGTTTCAGGGGTTGGCGATCTTTACCAGACGGATTCTATCTTTCGTTCATGCAATCGATTGAACTTGGGCCAGAGATCCAGCCTTTCAGCTGTGTTTCTTGCCATTTGCCAGCTGGTGCGTGGCGAGTTGAGACTTCGGGCTGGGACCTGGAGGTGACCAGCTGCGATCTCCCGCTTTGGAAGTCTCGGGCAAGCAGCTTTGCCAAGTGAGCAAAAGGTGCAACGATTGCCAGGCACTTCTGAGCAACGCAAACATACAGGGTCCATAATTAGGTGTCCTTTTTTGATTGTTTAGGTAGAAAGTAGATCGCACTGGTTTACCTGGTATTTTGATCATCTACCAGGGCCAGGTATTTCCCCGAAAAGGACACCTATGACAGGGTCTCTCACCAACGTTCGCAAGATGTTTTCAACTCGCCTCTGGTGCAGGCATCTTTCAACTTGCCCGGAACGCCTTTTTGTTTCTTCTCATGTGATTCTTCTTGCAGCACACGGCACACATGCACATGCATCTCAAAAGGTGAGGAGTTTTCCAAGCAATTGCAATTGGCATCACGTGTGTGTGTGTGTGTGTGTGTGTGTGTTTGCTTGCTTGCTTGTTTGTTTGTTTGTTTGTTTGTTTGTTTGTTTGTTTTTGTTTGTTTGTTTGTTTGTTTTGTTTGTACCTGTTTGTTTGTGGGTGTGCGTTTTTAGGGTGCCCTTTTGGAGTTGTTTTAAGTTTCGCTACAGGCTACCTGCGCTGTCAAGGACCCGACAAAATATTGAGATTTGTGGGAGTTTCATTGCACAATTCCAGTGGCACTTTTTATTGCAAGCTTTTGCACAGAATAGTGGCAATGATGAAAAAATGCACCCACAAGTAGAAATGTGCCACAAAGTCTCACGGTGTTCATCTAACCGTTTGCCGGCCCGGCGCAAATTATCACAGGTCCCTCAAAGCGCCGGTACCTTGTTTTACAAGGGAAGCCAAAGAGAATACCACCATTTTGGGGGCTCCCCCTATTTTGACGCACCCTGCAACCCTGACTTTCTTTCTCAAACCTAACCCGCGGCTCCATTTGGAGTGGATGAACATCCATGTGCCACCCATTTTGATGTTCAACAGGGGTTCAGGGTTTTGACCCACAGTCATGTTGGCTCTCTTGGGTTTGACAGGGAGTTCTTTCCGTGGCTCTCTTTGGAATGATGAAACAAGTTGGCTCCTGTCTTTGAAAGCTGTCCTTTCCAAGAGCACACATGGCTTCTCAAATTGACCCAATGGTGTATTTTCTGGTCGATTGCTCAGGTGCTCAGTTGGTGGTTTAGATTGGCGGTTTGGGACTTGAACCCAAATGGGCAATTCCTTAGCCATCAAGCCACCAATCCAAACCACCAATTGGAGTGAAGCTGCCCCGGGCACCCTCAACAATAAAGGCACCTGCGGCCATTGGCCATGAAGTTCAACAGGGAACCCCCTGAAAAGTGGTTGGAGGACATAAATCACCACCGAATTCCGCTGCATTCCCCAACAATCCACCAGGAAAAAAAACTAAGAAATAATGTAGATGCTTTATTCCCACCCCTTTTCGGCCCGAAAATGGGAGGGGGGGATGTTTGCAAATGTTTTGCATTTTCGCTTCCCCCCCAAAAAAATAAATAACATAAAATCAAAAATGTATGGGGACCCCCCCCCCGATGCTTTTAGGGAGCCATGACCATGGCCATGACCATTCCCCAAGAATTCGCTCCGAAATGAAGTGCACAAATTTGAGGACCCCTCTAACTGGGTGGGGGTGCCTGGTCTCCAAAAGCAAAACAGAAGGAGAGGTGGGGGGAATAATAGGTGTTTTTCTCGAAAATCGTATTTTTCCTTGAAAATTTACCCAAGAATTCATCGCCGACTCCGAGGCCTAGACGTCCTGTCAGGAGGTCACCAGCGCCTGGTCTCCAAGCGACGCAACCGGCGCCAGGCGGGGAGGACCTGATGCAGATAATCCACGCCGATCAGCGCCGGCTGGTGCTTTTTGGTGGTGAGATGGGACGGAACCGATTCATTAGTACACTTATATACATATATGTATGCATATATGAATACATACAGGCATACATAGATACATGTATATACATATATGCATATATGTACATATATATACACGTACATGCATGCATGGAGACGTACTACATGTATGCAACACGGTTTAGACAGTGATACAAGATACTATTTTGGGAGAAGTTATGTGCTGCACTGCCATCTGGTACACATGAATCTTGATTCGGATTGTTGCACACCTCTCCCACCCATGTTGATCAACCCCCAATTGCTCCTTTCTTTTCTTCCTGGATTGAATGTTTTCTAGGGGGGTCAACAGGTATTAATTCTTGGAAATGCCAGTGTTCCATGATACATGTTATGTCGCAGTATTTGTTCATTTTGGTCACAGAAGGGAACGCCCGCCAGTATGCTTGTTTACATGTCCTATTCTTGGAGATGCCGATGATGCGTTTGATATCGAGAGATGATCCTGCGCCGCACAAAGTACCCGCACAATTTCCACTTAAAACAGTCCTGACAGTCTTGACTTGCATTCACGGTGCAGTATTAGGAGATGAGTCAAATTAAACCACCAGGGGACCACAGGAATAGGTCCTTGGTTCCATTTACCAGGGTTCCAATTTGGGAACCTATTTGTGACCCACAGCCAGATGTTGAATTAGATTTGCCGTGCTTTTTTAAAGATGCTTTTTCCGTGCGCAAACTTGGTTCTATGCCGTCAGCGGAAGTCCATCGCTTCGGCATAGCATGAGCTCACGCTACTTTTTGGGTGATCCCACAGAGCTCTGAGAGATCTTGAGGTGTCTTGCGGAAGGACCTTAGGTCTGAATCGACAAATCTTGGTCCCAGCCCCCGGTTCCTTAGCTTTTTCGATCCTTTTAGTGTTTAGTGGTAGTTTCCGTATTTAACCCACTAAAAGTTGGTCACTTTGAGCGGGGGATCAGAAAACGGGCCCAGAAATGTGATAGGAGCGTGCCCTTTCCGTGCTTTCCAGGCCAGCCTGCTGCAGACGGATCAAGGCGAACCTGCCGGGGCCTTCAGAGCCAGCCGGCACCTTTCCAGGAGCCGATGAGACAGGCAAAGAAAAAGACGATCGTGGTGGTAGTCTATGGTTAGTTTGGGGACATAGGCCCAAATCTCTCAACCACTTTTGTTTTCCTTTTTTCCGGGGACACCTTTCTTGGAATACACTTTTTCGGAGCTAGCCAGATTCTGGGCTCAGAGCAGTGCTCAGTGCTCACCGTGAAAGTTTCGTTTCTCGGGATGCCTTTCAGACGGACCATACGTGGCTGTAGGACCTGCAAGGGGGGACATCGATCTGCATTCCAATGTCCGTGCGGGTCTAAAATGGGTGCACCTACCCCAAAACGGTACCAAAACGGTTTTGACCCACAGCCATCTGAGCGCAAGTTGTGGCTGAGGCTGGCGGGCAGCCGGCCGCCATACCGCAAGCATCGCCAGTGGCGCAGCCGGCCGCTACACCGCAAGCAGCGCCGGCGCCGCCAGTGGCGCGGAAGGGGGTGGCTCAGATGGCGAGTTTGCAGCGTTTTGTTCTTGGTGGTCGAATCTACTTGATTTTTGTGTCGTCCATGGGCGAACCCAGTCACAGCCCAAACTGCAGGCAGCAAGTGCACCTGCACCTGCGCCTGCACCACCAGCACCGACACCGACACCGAAAGCTGACGCAAAGGTGGCAATTGCATCACCAGAAGCTGGGCATCTCGGCTGCGAAAGAAACCGCCTCTCCCGGTTCAAAGAAGATGGTCAACAGCGCCCAAGGCACGTGTGCATTTTGGTGTGAGGTTCTACTACTACTGCTGCTACTACTACTACTGCTACTGCTACTGCTACTGCTACTGCCACTGCTACTGCTGCTGCTGCCGCTGCCGCTACCGCTACCGCTACCGCTACCGCTAGTGCTGCTACTGCTAGTACTACCAAGAATACTATTACTACTGGTACTAGTACTAGGTACTGGTACTTCTACTACCACCACCACTACTTCCACTTCTAATTCTGTTTCTGCTTTTACTTCTACTTCTTCTACTACTACTTTTAGTACCAGTACTATTAGTTGACGTCGCCGTATATGACCCCGCATGGTTTGTTCGTTTTTACGTGCTAATTCCTTGAGATTCGTTAACCCTTTCAGTGTTTTTGCGTTCCCCAATTTTTTGGAGGTTCAGATATACTGTGTTTAGGCATCTTAATCCCGACTTCAATGCGACTTGAATCTCTCGCTCAAAACAAACCTTCCGTGACTTGTTTTTGTATTCATGCACGTGCGAGCGAAATGCACCCGGATTTTCGTGTGGCCTGCGCAAGGAGTTGGACACTTGCAAGTGTTTATCATGCCTGCAAAACACATGCACGCACTCGTTTTGGCTTCGGGTTGCCGAGCGTCCTTTGCTCCCCCACCATACGCACACGCATGATTTCTGGCACACATTCATTTGTTCTTCATCTTAAGTACATTTCAATTAGCGTCCGTACTACAGAAGTTCCTTCTAAACTTCCTTTGGCTACTGCTAGATACTACTTCTGTTGCTACTGGCACTGCTAGTGCTACTTCTACTGCTACTTCCGCCTCTGTTGCTGCTGCTGGTTCTTCGGCGACGATCGCCACTACTACGATTATCATTGCTTGCTGCTACCGCTGCTAGTACTACTACTACTGCTACCACTCGGACGACGACTACGACTACGACTGTGACTACTACTACTACTACTACTACTACTACTACTACTACTACTACTACTACTGCTACTACTACTACTACTACTACTACTACTACTACTACTACTACTACTACTACTTTGTTAATGTTGAAACGCATGTGGAAACATGAACTGTGTGTGGAATGCTTGACCATAATGGCATGTGCCATTTTTGGCTCAAGCATTGCTCTGGGTTCCTGGAACCCAAGCTGATTGAAAAACTTTCATCTTTTGCATTTTCGAACTTAACCCCGACCAAGCGATGGCTTCCTCGGCAACCTCGGCAACTTCCTTTGAGTTGATTGAGGACCAGACACTCACCGTGGAGGAGGTTGAAATGGCCAGCCAGGAGGCCCAGGACATTCGCACACGGGAGGCGGCAGTGGCGGCCGGCTTGGTTTTGGACGAGCCCGAGGCCCCCCGTCAGCTTCGGCGACCGATGTGATGAATGACCTCTCCAGTGCACTGGAGCGTCTCCAAGTGGCATTTGCCACACCGACTCCCGGCTTGGGTGCCCCTGGCCCCGCCGAGGAGGGCGACAGGGACATGGGGGATGCGGACGGCACGGAGCGGGCCACACCACCGGAGGAGGCGCAGACGCCACCCACGAAGAGACTGAAGGGCTTTGTGGCGGCTTCTCAGAAGGCTACGTCTCAGGCCAACAAACCTGTCACCTTGGTGCCGGTGGACGGAAAACCTGGGTACTTCAAGCTGGTGGACCTCCCGGACTTGTTTCCAGTCCTTCCAGCGTCGGCGGCCACCTTGCTGAGAGACATCACGGTGGAGGAGGCGGTCTCCCTGTTTTACAAGTTTGTTGGGAAGAACCTCACGGAGGACCTGGTGATTTGCATCTTGGAGGCGTACGTCCCGATGAAGATCCAGCTCCGCCAGGAGGAGGTCTGGGCTTCGCAGTTCCAGAGGAACAAGGTGTGTATCGGCACCCAGCGCATGTACAGGCTCGACGCAGGTCATTCCGACTACAAGTTCATGTGCAAGGCATGCGGAACGGGGTGGCCAGAGGCAGCCAAGCAGTGCTGGGTCTGCCCCGGCAAGGAGTCCGCCCCCTTCCAGGCACCCTCGGCCACCTTTCAGGCGGACGGCGTCACCTACAACCTGCTCATCTTCGAGGGCAAGCCAATCTGGATCCAGCAGCGGGAATGGGGAAGCCTGGGTGCCGTTGGCCCCGGTGGTACCTTGGTGGACGGCACGGCGGTCCCGCTGAACATGCGGGTGGAGATCCTGTCCATGGAGGCGGATGACGAGGCGATGAAGGTCCGGGAAAGCCAGGAGATCCGGGTCAAAGTGCAGCGGTCCCTGAAAGAGGCGGTACGCCCACAGGTTCACATTTAAGTATATCTACTCGGCCTGGACCACCTTCCCGTTGATTGTGAAGACGCAACGCCGGGGCCGCAATGCGGAGGGCTCGACCTCGGACAAGTGGATGGGCAACATTATCCAGATGAGGAAGGAGGCGGTGCCCTTCCTGGAGAGCCTGGGCATCCCCAAGCCGCACAGCAAGGAGGAGTGGAGTTACAAGCACATTTTTGGAGGAGGTCTGGTAGATGGCCCTCTCACCAAGGTAGAGGCAGCAGCGCGCTGTGGCTGCAATATGGAGGATCTTTGCCCAGGCCCCCTAGCGGGCATCGACGAAGGGGACAAGATCCGCACCATCTACGATGGCTCGGTGGGCGGGGCCAATGACACCATCAGGAACCAGACGGTGGAAAGGACGACGGCTCCGACGGTGCTGGATGGGGTACAAGCTCTTCATTGGCTACATGCGGCAGCTGAGGAGGGCAATGGCCGGAGCCGGGCACCAGGTGGGTGCTGCTCAAGGCGGACGTCACCAAGGCCCACCGGAGAGTGGCGGTTCCAGGTGGCCTCACTGGGGGAAGAATGGTGGGTGAACAAGGTAGGCACATACGGCATGGCCAGTGCCCAATCCTACTGGGGACGCCTGGCAGCCCTTCTACTCAGGGTCCTCTACGCACTTTTCCCTCAAGTAGATTGGAACTTCGTCTTTGTGGATGACTTCCTGTGGCTGCTTCACAGCAAGGGGGCAGTGAACTTGGCGGTGGCGCTGTTGGCAACACTCCTGGCCTTGGGCACCCCGCTTAGCTGGAAGAAGACACATTTGGCGGAGGTCAACACGTGGCTGGGCTTCGTGGTCCACCCGAACATCCCGCAGGTTCTCATGGCCGCCAACAAACACATCCTGGTGATGGAGGTCTTGCAGATCATGGTGGAAGGGCAGGCGATGCACTCAAAGGACATCGAGAAGGCCCTGGGCCGCATCCAATGGGCAACTGCTGCATGTCCGCTGGCGAAGTCGATGCTTCAGCCACTGTGGGCCTGGAAAATGGCCACCACCACGGTGGGGAAACCCCCTAAGGTGGTCAGGATGCTGGCGTTCATGCTGCGGTTCCTCTTCAACACGCCCTTCGTCCAGTACTCCCCTTACTTGCCGAAGTCCTCTTGGTGGGGTTGCAGCGATGCTAGCGCCTCGGATGAAGGACTGGCATTTGTGGGAGGCTGGTGCTCCAACAAAGTGGAGCCGGAGAAGAAGGAGGTGTACTGGTTCCACGAGCAGATCCACGTGGAGGAGTACCCGTGGGCATTCAAGAATGGGGATCCCAAGCGGAGGATTGCGGCTCTGGAAATGCTGGGCACGCTCTTCCTCTGTAACATGATCCTCACGCACCAAGGCCCTCTGTCCTCCCGGGTCCGACTCCCGGTGGGCAGTGACAATCAGGGCAACGTCATGGCGATGCTCAACCTTGGATCCAAGAAGCCCTACACCGCGGCTATCCTGATGGAGCTGGTCTTCCTGCTCCACACCCATGGCTGCTCGCTGGCGGCCAACCACGTGCCCCGGGAATTCAACCAGTGGGCCGATGAGCTGACGCACCCAGATTTCTCGGGGTTCGACCCTTTGCACAGAGTTCCCAAACAGGAACTCTGCGAGGAGTTCATTTTTCTCCCGCGTCTCCTGAATGGAGATGCACTTGATCTTAGCGTGGGCCCACCCATGCTCCCGTGACCGGAGCCGGTGGGTGACTCACTTCCCCTGGTGGCAGACCCCCCTGTGGCCTGGATGCCCCTGGCCCCGGCCCAGGGGCGGGCGCTATCAGTCTGCACACCCGTTCTTCAGTTTTTGAGAGTTTGTGGTGGGTGGCCCATGGGGCCCACCCAGCCGTAGACATCTGACAGGGGAAGATGAGTCCCTGGCACCAACACATTGCTTGGATAAAAGAGTTATCGCTTGCTTGTGTGGTGCCGTTTGGTTAGCTTACATACACCACTACTACTACTACTACTACTACTACTACTACTACTACTACTACTACTACTACTACTACTACTACTACTACTACTACTACTACTACTACTACTACTACTATGGTTACCGCCATCACCGCCGCCGCCATCACTGAATCACCCTGCCCGGTTCGACGGGGATTTTTTCGGAATGCCTTTCTTTACAGCCTCGGTAAAGCCGATAAAACCCGCAGGCTTGGCGTACGCTGTAAAAATCCTAATGTAACTTCACAGCGAATTTGAGGACTTCACGTCGCCGGGCGCTTGTGTTTGGCCTCACTTCAATCCACCAGGATTTCAACAAGACATTTGTTTTTTCGAGCTCGTGGACATTTGTTGGCGAAAAAGTGAGAAAAGAAGTCGTAGCCCAGCTTCAGCCCGTCAGGAGAAGATGAGAGAGCTTGCTATTCTAGGTCCCCCAGTAGTGCCCTTTTCACAACTTTTTTGCGGGAGGGTTCCCTACTAAAATAGACTACAGAGAAAAGGGTACCCTTATTCTAACCTTCCTGCTGGAGGACCTAGTATTGCAAGTTGTGGGCACAGCATGCGAGTTTTCATTTCTTCAAACAGTGAGTTGGCTGGAGATGCGAGGCGATGGTGCAACCAGGCCCTTGCCTTGATATTTTCCGATGTCAAGCTCAAATCATAGAAGCAACGTGGTCATTGCTACCCCCTCGGGAGATGGAGCCACCGCAGCGGCAATGTTGAAGAGGTTTATCTGTTTACCTAAGCCCAAACTCCAAGCTTGATGTGAAACGCTTCGACACATGGGTATGGGTCAAAATGAAACCAGGAATCTGACCGCAGGTTTTGGTCCATGTTTCCACTTACCAGGCTGCCATTTTGGGTACCTATTTTGACCCTTCGACATATGACACCTCGGAGGTCCAGAGGGAGGAGCAGGTTCGGGTTTTGTCAGAGGCTGCCTGCTAGTCCGGTCAATCCCACTTTGGACATCGAGATGACCTTGAGCATTGAAGCCGGGTCAGGCAGCCTCTGTGAAAAGTTCTTGCGTTTTACGCAAAAACTACCCCCAAACCTCCTTGCGGTGCGGGACCGCCTAAACGGCCACCAGGCGTGGGTTGCCGGGATTTTTTTTCCGGCCAGGAGCAACCGGCGCCAGGCGGGGAGGACCTGATGCAGATAATCCACGCCGATCAGCGCCGGCTGGTGCTTTTGGGTGGTGAGATGCTTCGGAACTGATTCATTTGTGTATATATATATATATATATATACAATGTATATGTATATATATATGCGCATATATATACATATATATATATATATATATATGCATATATATATATATACACGTACATGCATGTATACGCACTACATGTATGTAACAAGGTTTAGACAGTGATACAATATACTATTTTTGGAGAAGTTATGTGCTGCACTGCTATCTGGTACACATGAATCTTGATTCGGATTGTTGCATACCTCTCCCACCCATGTTGATCAACCCCCAATTGCTCCTTTCTTTTCTTCCTGTATTGATGTTTTCTAGGGGGGTCAACAGGTATTAATTCTTGGAAATGCCGCAGTGAATTCAGTGTTCCATGATACATATTATGTCGCAGTATTTGTTCATTTTGGTCACAGAAGGGAACGCCCGCCAGTATGCTTGTTTACATGTCCTATTCTTGGAGATGCCGATGATACGTTTGATATCGAGAGATGATCCTGCGCCGCACAAAGTACCCGCACAATTTCCACTTAAAACAGTCCTGACAGTCTTGACTTGCATTCACGGTGCAGTATTAGGAGATGAGTCAAATTAAACCACCAGGGGACCACAGGAATAGGTCCTTGGTTCCATTTACCAGGGTTCCAATTTGGGTACCTATTTGTGACCCACAGCCAGATGTTGAATTAGATTTGCCGTGCTTTTTTAAAGATGCTTTTTCCGTGTGCAAACTTGGTTCTATGCCGTCAGCGGAAGTCCATCGCTTCGGCATAGCATGAGCTCACGCTACTTTTTGGGTGATCCCACAGAGCTCTGAGAGATCTTGAGGTGTCTTGCGGAAGGACCTTAGGTCTGAGTCGACAAATCTTGGTCCCAGCCATCCGCTTCCTTAGCTTTTTCGATCCTTTTAGTGTTTAGTGGTAGTTTCCGTATTTAACCCACTAAAAGTTGGTCACTTTGAGCGGGGGATCAGAAAACGGGCCCAGAAATGTGATAGGCGCGTGCTCTTTCCGTGCTTTCCAGGCCAGCCTGCTGCAGACGGATCAAGGCGAACCTGCCGGGGCCTTCAGAGCCAGCCGGCACCTTTCCAGGAGCCGATGAGACAGGCAAAGAAAAAGACGATCGCGGTGGTAGTCTATGGTTCGTTTGGGGACATAGGCCCAAATCTCTCAACCACTGTTGTTTTCCTTTTTTCCGGGGACACCTTTCTTGGAATACACTTTTTCGGAGCTAGCCAGATTCTGGGCTCAGAGCAGTGCTCAGTGCTCACCGTGAAAGTTTCGTGTCTCGGGATGCCTTTCAGACGGACCATACGTGGCTGTAGGACCTGCAAGGGGGGACATCGATCTGCATTCCAATGCCCGTGCGGGAAATGGGTGGTGCACCTACCCCAAAACGGTACCAAAACGGTTTTGACCCACAGCCATCTGAGCGCAAGTTGTGGCTGAGGCTGGCGGGCAGCCGGCCGCCATACCGCAAGCACCGCCAGTGGTGCAGCCGGCCGCTGCACCGCAAGCAGCGCCGGCACCGCCAGTGGTGGCTCAGATGGTGAGTTTGCAGCGTTTTGTTGTCGGTGGTCGAATCTACTTGATTTTTGTGTCGTCCATGGGCGAACCCAGTCACAGCCCAAACTGCAGGCAGCAAGTGCACCTGCACCTGCGCCTACACCACCAGCACCGACACCGACACCGAAAGCTGACGCAAAGGTGGCAACTGCATCACCAGAAGCTGGGCATCTCGGCTGCGAAAGAAACCGCCTCTCCCGGTTCAAAGAAGATGGTCAGCAGCGCCCAAAGCCCGTGTGCATTTTGGTGTGAGGTTCTACTACTACTACTACTGCTACTACTACTGCTACTGCTACTGCAACTGCTACTGCTGCTGCTGCTGCTACCGCTACCGCTACCGCTACTGCTAGTGCTGCTACTACTACTGCTACTATTGCTACTGCTAGTACTACCAATAATACTATTACTACTGCTACTGGTACTAGTACTAGGTACTCTACTACCACGACCACTACTTCTGCTTCTACTTCGGCTTCTGCTTTTACTTCTACTTCTTCTACTACTACTTTTGGTACCAGTACCCACAAAACACGCGGCTCGCCCACAAGCATCTTTATGGGAATGTCTGCCGCTGCCTTTAGGGTTTAGGTTTAGGGTTTTTAGGGTTTAGGTTTAGGGTTTTTGGGGTTTAGGTTTAGGGTTTTTAGGGTTTAGGTTTAGGGTTGCTAGGGTTTAGGTTTAGGGTTTTTGGGGTTTAGGTTTCAGAAAGGGACGTTTAGGGTTTTTAGGGTTTAGGTTTAGGGTTTTTATGGTTTTTAGGGTTTTTAGGGTTTAGGGTTCAAACCCAAGACAAGGTGCTCCAAATCCAGGTTTCGACCCCCAAGTTTTTGAGGGAGTTCACCCCACACAGGTCTACAAGCTCCCACGCCTGCCACGTTTTTGGATGGTCGGGGCGGGGGCTGTCGCAGACGTCGCGGGCAAGCGGGATGTTTTGGCCGTACCAGTACCACTAGGTGACGTCGCCGTATATGACCCCGCATGGTTTGTGCGTTTTTACGTGTTAATTCCTTGAGATTCGTCAACCCTTTCAGTGTTTTTGCGTTCCCCAATTTTTGGGAGATTCACATATACTGTGTTTAGCGCGCTCTAGGCATCTTAATCCCGACTTCAATGCGACTTGAATCTCTCGCTCAAAACAAACCTTCCGTGACTCGTTTTTGTATTCATGCACGTGCCAGCGAAATGCACCCGGATTTTCGTGTGGCCTGCGCAAGGAGTTGGACACTTGCAAGTGTTTATCATGCCTGCAAAACACATGCACGCACTCGTTTTGGCTTCAGGTTGGCGAGCGTCCTTTGCTCCCCCACCATACGCACTCGCATGATTTCTGGCACACATTCATTTGTTCTTCATCTTAAGTACATTTCAATTAGCGTCCGTACTACGGAAGTTCCTTCTAAACTTCCTTTGGCTACTGCTAGTTGCTACTTCTGCTGCTACTGGTACTGCTAGTGCTACTTCTACTCCTAGTTCCGCCTCTGATGCTGCTGCTGGTTCATCGGCGACGATCGCCACTACTACGATTATCATTGCTTGCTACTACCCGCTGCTAGTACTACTACTACTGCTAACACTCGGACGACGACTACGACTACGACTGTGACTACTACTACTACTACTACTACTACTACTACTACTACTACTACTACTACTACTACTACTACTACTACTACTACTACTACTACTACTACTACTACTATGGTTACCGCCATCACCGCCACCGCCATCACTGAATCACCCTGCCCGGTTCGACGGGGATTTTTTCGGAATGCCTTTCTTTACAGCCTCGGTAAAGCCGATAAAATCCGCAGGCTTGGGGCGTACGCTTTAAAAATCCTAATGTAACTTCACAGCGAATTTGAGGACTTCACTTCGCCGGGCGCTTGTGTTTGTCCTCACTTCAATCCACCAGGATTTCAAAAAGACATTTTCTTATTTCGAGGCACCCCCCCCTCGTGGACATTTGTTGGCGAAAAAGTGAGAAAAGAAGTCGCAGCCCAGCTTCAGCCCGTCAGGAGAAGATGAGAGAGCTTACTATTTTAGGTCCCCCAGTAGTGCCCTTTTAACAACTTTTTTGCGGGAGGTCCCTACTAAAATAGACTACAGAGAAAAGGGTACCCTTATTATTCTTACCTCTCTACTGGAGATTGCAAGTTGTGGGCACAGCAGCACAGCATGCGAGTTTTCATTTCTTCAAACAGTGAGTTGGCTGGAGATGCGAGGCGATGGTGCAACCAGTAGGCCCTTGCCTTGCTGATATTTTTCCGATTGGGTCAAGCTCAAGTCATAGAAGCAACGTGGTCATTGCTATCCCCTCGGGAGATGGAGCCAACGTAGCGGCAATGTGTACTTGAACAGATAAAAACTGTTTACCTAAGCCCAAACTCCAACCTTGATGAAACCCTTCGACATATGACACCTTGGAGGTCCAGAGGGAGCAGGTTCGCTGTCAGAGGCTGCCTAGTCCGGTCAATTCCAGTTTCGACATCGAGATGACTTTGAGCATTGAAACCGGGTCAGGCAGCCTCTGTGAAAAGTTCTTACGCGTTTTACGCCCTCGCAAAAACTACCCCCAACAGACGACTCCTTGCGGGGACCGTTTCGGTCACGCCGGGTTGCCGTGGGATTTTTTGTTCGGCCAGGAGCAAGGCGGCCCTCGAGCAGCTGTCCGACCCCAACTTGCACATCGGGGTCTACTTTAAGCCAGTAGGCCTGGACGAGGTTTTTTTCTCCATCTCCTTACCTGTTTAAGGTACCAGGTCCGGGACCCAGTGCCCTTTCTCACCAGCTTGGTTGGGGTTTTAAACGTTCCCCTACCAAAATAGGTACCCTTTTGCTAACCTCTCTCTTACCAGAGGACGTAGGGTGTAAAAAACCGCCTGTTTTATAGCGAGCTCACCTGGCGGGTATGACGAGCTCCGTGGAACAGGTCCTGTATTTGGGGATCCCTGAATTCAGCTTTTGGAATGGTAGACCAATGGAATCCCATTTTGGGGGTTTTCGGTGCACCACCCATTTTAGAACCTATTTTAGTGGGGATTGGGATGTTCACTGGGGGTACGGGATTTCGGGATTTTGACCCATGGCCATGTGTATGTACCCTCCCACCAATTGACATGGAACCTGACGTTCGGGGGTCCTGGTTTGGACCTTTTCCCTTTTAAAGGGACCCCCGAACGTCAGGTTCCATGTTAATTGGTGGGAGTGTATAATATATATATATAGTGAAGTTTCACATACGACATGAACCCATGTCACCGCAGGCCTTGAGCTCATATAGAAAAGCGAGTTTGGTAGCGGAGCGGGTAAGCTGCTCCACGCCAATTTGGGGTCTCCAGCGCCATTTGTCGGGGCCTCTCGCTGGGCTACTGGTCCCTCAGCCAGGGGGACGGTTCTCCCCGCTGAGGGAACCGGTGGAGGCGCGGAGGAGTTCGAGAACAAGCACCCGCACGCGGCGATCTTGGCTTCTGTAAGCCCCAAGGCTTGAGCCTCGGGCATCTGGCCAGGAGGAGGCAGAGAATTCGATCCAGGAGACGGTGTTGGCGCGAGCCCACGTACAGCAATGGCAGCACCTCCCGGGACGAACGCAGGAATTCCGCTGACTGAGTACAGGAGAGATGTTCCTCCAGGATGGCAACCGGCACTACCTGACTACCCTCTTTGTTTGTACTTCGACAAACTGAAGCTGTGGTACAGGGTATATGATGGACCTGATGAGTGTGTCGGGCCTTTGGTGGCAGGTCGATTACATGGTCGCGCTCATCGCATAGCCCTGCAGCTGCGTGTGCCGCGACCGGACGGAACCTTCGACCAAGGAGACTCAGCACTGGTGAGACTGGCAGTCGACGAAGTCAGAGACCCGATCAGCCCCAATCAGATCCTGCAGGCCCATATTCCATCTGGCGTTCAGTGCTTGTGCAACGCGCTCAGAGATGCCTTCGGGCAGAGCGATCAGGACATGGCTTCGTCATCGCTCGACAGGTTCTTTGAGTGCAGACGGTACAAGGTGAGCTTTCAGGAGTATGCGGTCGAGTGGGACATGCGATTGGAGGAAGCCGCCGATCGAGCTGGATTACAGATCAACGAGGTTGCGAAGTTTTACCTGTTCTTTGAGAGCTCAGGTTTGCCGCCAAAGATGATCGACGACCTCAAGATGCAGATCGGAGGCAACCTCAATCGCTTCGCAGATGCCAGATCCTTGGCTCTTCGCCTCAGCAACAAGAGTGATGCACAGAGCGATGTGTTCTACAACGAGGACTACTACCAGGAGCCGACACACACGGATGAGGATTGGTACAGCCAGGAGTGGTACGATCCTATGGAGTGGATCGGTGAGGACTACTACCAGGAGAACGAGGACGTCTACTACGATTACGAAGATGACGGCGACTATGAGGACTACGATGAGTACTATGACCAATCCCAGGTGGACGCTCCGTCGTTATCATCGACGACGGAACCAGGTGGAGAACAATCGCCCAATGCTGCAAAGAACGTGGAGGAAGTCCACGAGGAGTACTACGGGCAGCAGAAGGGCAAAGGCCGTAGCTGCTACATTTGTGGTAGCAGATATCATATCTCCACTGAGTGCCCCATGAACAAAGGCAAGGGCAAAGGAGGCAAGAGCAAGGGCAAAGGCAAAGGATACAAAGGAGGATACAAAGGAAAAGGGTACAAAGGTGGCTTCAAGGGTGGTTACCAGGGAGGCAAAGGTCATGGTGGCTATCATGGCGGCAAGGGCCATGGTGGTTTTGGCAAAGGACGCTATGGGTATCCCAAGGGAAAAGGCAATTATGCGACCACCATGGGAACGTATCAGCAGTGGTACTCGAAGGCTGGACATTTCGGATGTCATCGTGACAGCTACAAGTCGGAGCCAGACACGCCCCGAGGAGCACCACATTAGCACGCCCAGACAGGATGACCTTCTGCAGATCAACCGGCCCGAGCGGACTGGAACCGTTACGGAAACCACCAACATCCAGGACAAGCGGCTGCACTTCCCGGTCTTCAAGCACTACAAGACTGAGGTCCACGTCGGTGAGTACTTCACGGTACGAGGAGAACGGAGGCGAGGGCTAATCGTGGACCCGGATGCAGCGTCAGGCCTGGTAGGATCAGAGACCCTCAGGGACATCATGGAGACCTGCATTATTCCTCAAGGTATGGAGAAGGAAGTGGTCGTCAGTTGGGACAAGACCACTTCGGTCTCAGGCATCAGTGGTCAGCCAGACCGAACGCTGGGCGAGATCGTGCTACCGCTGGTTTCGTCAGGACAGCGGATATCATTCCGAGCTGAAGTTCTCGGAGGAGAAGGCTCATTGTGTCCCGCGTTGGTGGGAAATCCGTCACTGCGACAACTCGGAGCTACGATCTTCACGGAGTACTTCGAGAACGGTGACGGTCTGCTGACAGTCGGATCCAGAGGACAGTCAGAAGAAGATGCCACCCACAAGATGTTCCGGTTGTTGTTGACCGACTCCGGGCACTACATCCTGGCCACAGACGGCGACAGCTCTTCGACCGAGGAGATGAAGGAAAACATCACCAAGGACGTCATGTGGTACGAGCAGAAGATCTACGAGGAGAGCTCAACGACGTGGAAGGATGTGCGACCTCCGATTTTCTGCTACTGCCATCAGGAGCAGTCTGCAAGAAGTGACCGGGGTGAAGTCAATTGTGATGAGAGAACCCCAGGCGGAGATGCAGCAATCGGCCCACAGGAGAAGAGTCACGGTCAAGCAACCAAGCTACCTCATGAAGGAGATCTTCAGCAAGAAGAGCCAGGACCTCGACTTCCAGTCGACATCTTTCATTCTGCGGAAGATGAAGATGATTACTGGCAAGTTGGCTTCCCCAGAGGATGTGTTGTCCTGACCCGGGTGCATGTTCGACCAAGGAACACGTTCTTCAGTCCGACAGACACGGAGCTTCCAGCAGGATTCAATGTGGAGGATCTTGGGGACGCGCGATACACTGAAGTTCATCCGGAGGAACGGCGAATCGCACCCCGCACGGTCACGGACACCTGGCATGCACCTGTGGTGACACCATATTATTGGCAGGGAAGCACAAGGTTCCGCAGACCATATCGCCGAGCAGATGGATCAGCAGAAGAGACCGAGCAGGGAGAGGTTCCCATCGGCGACATGCACATGGAGCCAGGAGAGTCAGTCACGTTCCACCCTGACTCTTATCTAGCACGAGGAAGCCGAAAAGCACCACCCACGACTACCACAGAAGAGCAGCATCCAACAGAGCGGTCGACTTCCGACAACACCCACAAGCAACAGATGCTTGCGCAGGACGAGGACTTTCCCAAGTACGTTGAGGACACGCTGCCGGACCACATTCCAGAAGAGCAGACTAAGAAGTTCAACAAGCGGTACAAGGCGGTCAGAGAGGAGTACTACAGCCGCTCCGGACATCGACCGGTGACGCAAAAGAACTTCGACAAGTGGTTCGCGAAGGCCAAAAGAAAGAACCTGCGATGGCACTTCTGGGAAGTATGTAGCGGATCTGGCAGACTGACTCTTGTCATGGTCATGGCCGGTTTATTACGTGGTTTTCCAGTTGACATTCGCTATGGCTGCGACATCAACGACTACAGTCATCAGACCATGCCGAAGAAGGCCTACAACGAGTTTGCTCCCATTCTGGTACACGCGTCTCCCGACTGTGCACCATGGTCAGTGTCGGCGAACACGAAGCCTCAGGAGGTAAGGGAACAAGAGCGACTACGGGATCAACCTGGCCTGGAATTCATCAGCGGGATCTTCGTGGATCAAGAGAAGAGGGGCAACCTCTACAACCTGGAACAGCCTCTGGCATCAGCCATGTGGGGCCAAGGTCCAATTCGCTGGGAGCTTCTCAAGCACAACAAGCACAGGCAGCGAGTTGACCAATGCATGCATGGAGCTACAAATGAGCGAGGCGTACCGGTGCAGAAAGCTACAGGCTTCGGCTCCAACCACAAGTGGAAGAAAACGGCCATCAGATGTTCAGGGCATCAAGGAGGTGGTCATGCTCATCTTCAAGGACAGGTGAACGGAGTCAACCGAACGGCGCCCAGCCCAGCGCGGTGTATCCGCAGAGGATGTGTCACAAGATGGTTACCGACTTCCTGAACTATCTCAACAGCAACCAGCGGATGGTCCTTCCCAAGTGGCCCAAGCATTTGGCCATATATACCACCGAGCACTACTATGACTGTGTCAGATGCAACCTTGGAAGAGCATGCCCCAGGGGTATCGACCACACGCTGATACCTGGGCAGTGCCGGTATGGGAGACGGCCAGAAGGCACCCATCCGAGGAGTCAAAGGAATCCACCTACGACAAACCCCATCGAGGATTTGAAGAACACGGCCCGAGCGCACACGACCGATGCGGTCGAACTGGAGCTACCAGCCAGCATCACTCTGAACATCGAGACAGCGCATTTCCTCAAGAAGGCGTTGCTGGAGACGGTGCAGAAGGCTTTGGGAGTCTTTAATGAAGCAGTTGAACGAGGTGTGGAATACAAGCACTGGCTGGAAGACTCGGTGCTCATCGCGATCTATCGCGAGATCTTCAAGGACTACTTCAAGGTCCTTGGCGTGAGCGTGGAGCTTCGCCCATGGCATAGGTCCACAGGAGAACCACAGCTCACGGTGAGCACGGCACCGCTACGACTCAGCGTCAGAGGTCCAGCCAAGAAGTGGAAGCTGGA